AAAGTGTTTCAAGGCTTTCTGAATCTTTCATTATGAAAGAACCTCAAAAATTACTAGGAATGGTACTTGAGCACCCTTATACAAAGATAATAAAGAATGATGGGGAAAGATGATAAAATGATGCTCAATCTCTATTCCTCTTTCTGGGAAATAAGAAGGTTCAATTTATATTTAGTTACTTAAAAAAATTCTTCAGACCTTCATCTGCTATATTATGATTTTGAAGATTATGTCACTTTGAGAGGTCAAGATGGTCAATTCTGTTCTCAGAAATGCACTGAGGGGTTTTCAAAGTAAACCTTACGAAACTATAGCAAGTAAGACAAGATCCCTGCGGTAAATTCATACACCGATAGTGTAGGGTAGAAGCTCTTCCTTTAGGTCTTCTTTTCTTCACAAGGAAGGAAAATACTGTAGAAAAGGACAGCTGTATTCAGTAGATATCATCAAAATCATGTTGCTGTGAATGGAAAGGACTTTGGTTAGGACTGAATGAGCTACAAGCATAACATAGTTCAGCAGAGGAGTCTAACAGACTAGCATTTAAATGCATGTAATTGAACAGATGGGTCCTTTAGAAGAGACTAATGCGTTATTACTGATTCTTGTCCAAGTAGCATTTATCTAAAGCAGGTGCTTGATAAACTGAAACTGGAAGAGTGGATTGAAATGCATTGGTTCTTCAAGCAAGTAGGGCATAGAAAAGGAGACAATCCCTCCTCATGCATCTTTCAAGAATATATCAGTGCATGCAATGCTAACTTTCCTTACACTAGCAAATCTCACAAGTTTGTTACTACTCCTGAGATGCAATGAATGTTGTTTGTAACATCATCATTAACATCAGCATGAGGGCCAGGGGCATACAAGTTGAGAATGTCAACATGTAATTCAGGTTTCAAATCCATTTTATACTCTCAAGTTATTCTTTTTCCAACTTTGCCAGCTTGTTTGGCTTCTAAAGAAGCCAAGCTCCAGCTAGAGCCAAAGTTGTGATTCTGGATCAATTTCTGACTTGCCTTTAAAGCAGAAAAATTACATTCTTCTCCTTTCTGAGAAATCAAATAAACCTGGTATCAAATCTTTTTGCTGTCTAGGTTCCAAAGTTACCTGCTATAACAGTGGTAGAGCTATCTGTGCATAAATACAGATGAAGTTATCTAGTGCTTAAATCTGGATTAAATTTAAATTCAGAGCAGAGTTTGAAAATCAATCAGGGTTATGGTTTGCATGCTCATGTGATGGTACTAAAATCTTATGGGGGTTTTTGTCTTGTGAAGTTTTATCTGTGTTTGATCTGGAATGAGAAAATAGGATCCATTCCAGTTTGGAAAGAAACTCAGAACCCAAATTACATGAGTAAACTCACATCAAGAGACTGAAATGCCCCCAAATGCCCCCTTATTCTTCTTTTTGTGAGGATGGAAAGTTTGACTGTCAGATGAGACTGGGGAAGAAAGATGTCTCCAGATAGAAACAGATGAAAAGCTGAATTTGGCAATACTGTTAAAGTGGACTGATGGCTTTAATTATAAAGTTATATAACAAGCAATAGCAAATCCATTACAGACTTCAAAATCATGTCACATTTATCCGCTTTAAGCGCCGTCAAGCACCCATTTTGCTACAGTAAGCAGAATCCACTCCAGTCTTCAGCTCCCAGGTTGAGACACCTTGTTCTTGCAGCGACCTGTTTACTCAGCCCCAAAGACTCCCATGCCCAGTTTCCCACCATTTCAACAAACCCTACTTCAAGGAAAGCTTTTCCAAAAGGTCTGAACTTACTTTTGAAATTAATTCGATCCTTGTGCCAGCTGCTAGCAGTGTGCCAGTGCTGCGTACCTGCATACATGTATTTAGGCTTTGTAAATATTTATGGGAAAACTGTTAGTACAGCTACTGTTTTGCCTGCCTTGAAATACTGAGATGCTATAATACTTTGATTTGAAACATTTTAACCTGCATAAGAAAATCTTGATATAAGGATAGAAAATTCCAGTTTAAAGCACAAGGTATAGTGGTCATGGAGTTACTTCGCAGACTGGCAGAATGTATTAACAATTTCAGCTGCTAAAATGATGGAAACAGCAGTCTAGATTTGAGAAGGCTGAACTTTAGTGTGAAAGTCCTCCACAGTCCACTTAACAGTTCTGTTTTGTCTGATTTTAATTACTTTGTCACTACTAACATGACCCAGTTACCATAGTACAAATGTCAGCTTGTAAAAGTGAGTCCTCCTCAGCTAGTATTTGCCGTTTACATTTGTTCATTCAGTGATGAAGAGTAGTTAATTAGCTCCATCTACTGCTGCATAGAGTGAATTGTACCAGCAGCGCCAGTTCTCCAGTAGCCCCTTCAGATTGTACTCATAGGGTTTCAGGCGCTCTGATCCACCATGCAAGAACTCATAGCAGAAAGCAGAAAGTTTACATCTTTCTGTTTCTTATGTCATCAGCTTTACTGTTATGTAGGTTTTCTTTAATCTCTAACCTTTTTGGTAATTTCTGTCTGAATTGTAGGGTGACAATGTGGCACATCATTTTTCTTAATACATCTTCTCATGCCAAAAGTCGTAACAGCTCTCTTTAAACAATTAGTGCAAACAATAAAGAGACTTGCAAGGAAGGAAAGGGAGATATTTAAGTTATTGCTGCACTGGTGATAAAGAAGGCCACCGTGCTGAAAATGGGTACTTGAATCAACAGATTGGATGCCCTTATTTTGTGCTTGCCATATGTGTTGACTGGAGCATTCAGATAGGGTATTTAGTTATTTAGGCTTTTAAATACATGTTCTGATATTCATTTTAAATGCTTTCTTAGTTTATGAAAGAGCTAGTGAATGCCTATTCTAAAACATCTTTCTTAGTATTCTTTTTATTAGTTAGGTGGAGTATTCCACTTAAATCTATGCCTGGCAGTGTCCAAGGCCAGGTTGGACAGCCTTGGGCAATATGGTCTAGGGTGAGGCATCTCTGCCCATGGCAGAGGGGTTGGAACTAGATGATCTTAAGGTCCTTTCCAACATTAAGCAGTCTATGATTCTATTCTATTTAAAATGCTTTCAAAAACATCCCAACTAGCACCCCAGTAAGCAGGCTACAACAAAGTTGAATCAGAGAAACACAACAGATAATTGCCAAAGTAGAAAGGTAGCAAAGATTCATATCCTCAAATGTCTAAAATCTCCAAATTTTTTTATTATTGCATTTAAAGAAATAGCTCAGTAAATTGTTTTATATTCATAATAGTTTCCCATTGAGAAAAACAATTATACCAAAGAGCTTACTAAGGTCAGAGACATTTTTCTAGTCTGCACAATGCTTAGACACCTGTGAAGTGGCTGCAAAACCAAAAGAACAGGCTTGCAGGTATTTCAGAGAGAAAGGAAATTTATTCCTTGGGCTGGCTGCTGCCCTCAGATTATGTCAAAAGTAGTGCACCTCCTGCTAACAGCAAAGCAAATTGCATGGAAGTATATCACCAGTTAATGCCATTATCCCCCTTCACCTACCTCAGGTCCCTAGCTGTACATCTGCCTCAAGTAGCCTCAAAATACTGAATTATGAGTCTGAGGAGTTCTCTGATTAGAAAACTTTGTAATCAAAGTAAGCAACAGAAAGACAACTGTCAACCAAAAAACTATTTCAGAAGTCAAGTCCTTTCCCCTTTCCTTTTCACCAGCTATGAATGCAAAGCCATTTTCATTGCAAAGGCTAGCTGTGAGTCCCCCAGCCTCAACTTCAGCCCCTGTTCTCAGCTCTGAAAGAGACTTCTCCATTTCTAATTTATCTCTGAGTTTTAGCCTTCCTTACATTGCTTGTGAATGCCGCTTACTTAGCTAATTCCAAGGATCTTGATAGTTTCTGAGGACATCTTTGTATGTTTGAATGGGATAATTTAAATGCTGTTCTTCATTCTTCCTACTTCACACTGAAACTCTCTTCCCTGTCCCCTGGAGGGAACGTCTTTTACTTACATGAATTCAAAAAACCAAGTTTTGTTTTCCAAATTTGTAATTAATGCAGAATTATGCAAAGCAGAATAATAAATAATCTGGCTGTGAAGTGTATTCTTTTGTGAAAACATGAAGGACTTCAATGTCTAACTCTGCTTACAATTAGCACATCAGTGGGAAAACAGACCCTGTTATCAGTTAATGTACTGCAAATAAAGCTGTCCAGACCTTCAACAGCTTTCTAAGAGAACATTTAAGGTGAATTATCTCCAAGTTAATCAGAAGCTACAAAACTCTAAATGCTTACTTTACACTTGTAGTAAAACTGTAAATCCCAAATTTGGTGTTAACACAACCAGTAATTTGCAACTTGGAAATAAATGTTTTAAAAGATTCAGGATTAATGTAAAGTTCAAATTTAAGAAACTAAATACAGAGCTTCCTGTACTACACACACATGCCTTCTGCAAATTTTATGGGAGTAAGAACTGGAAAGAGATCTCAGAGTCCAGCTCCACACTTCATTTAGAAGGAAAACTCTCATGAAAAGCTTAATCTGCACAGCAGAATGCTAAATAAAAATAATTTATTTTTTTTTTTAAACTTGTCCTTAACAAGGCAAGTCATGGTTTTATTTCTTGAATGCATGAAGATCAGAATAGCCACAAGGTAACAAGGTACCAAAAGTCACTAGGCTATTCCTAAAGTCACATTGCCTCAATAAGCCTTGCAAGAGGCATTACATATAACAATAGAGAAACAAGCTTCTGGTACTAAACTCATTTAGAAAATCATAGAATGGTCAGGGTTGGAAAGGACCTTAAGATCATCTAGTTCCAACCCCCCTACCATAGGCAGGGACACCTCACACTAGAACATGTTGCTCAGGTCTCTACCCAGCCTGGCCTTGAACACTGCCAGGGATGGAGAATTCATCGCTTCTTTGGGGAACCTGATGCAGTGCCTCACCACCCACACAGTAAAGAACTTCTTCTTTATACCTAGCCTGAACTTTCCCTGTTTAAGTTTGAACCCATATATATATATGGGTATATAAACAAATATATAATACATATACTAAGAAGATTCTATTAATAATTGTTTACCAACATGCAATGATTTTCATGGATATAGCTGTGAGCCCGGGCAAATCTAACCCACACTGGCAATTTGCATTTTCTTTCTGCTCATATAACAGTGCTCTTCACAAGCAGCACACTGGTAGACAGGTGTATCAAAAAGTGTCAATATTAGGGGGGCTATTTAATGCATTTTTATGCGTACAGTGTATTAGATAATCATAAATGCCGAGGTATACAGCCTATAAAAGCACATATACACATTTATACACATATATGCAACCCACACATATATTACAATCAGGAAAAAGGTATAATTATAAGTGCTTCAAAACTTCCAGACTGCAGTGTAAGGAACAGGTTGCCTTATCAGTAACTTCTACAATATCTTTCAGTGAAGTAACAACTCAGAAAAGCTGTTACGGTTTTCCATCAAATGTAACAATCCTCTCATAAGGGTCATGATTTCCTCCATGTAGAAGTTTCTCTTTTTCATCAAGAGTTATTGCATAGCCAGGGTTTTCTCTTCAAGTCAAGAAGCAAGCTTTTTCACCTTTGTATGAATTTTTTAATGACAAGTTACTCAGGAAGAATTTGCTAAGATGAAAATGAAGCATATCAAATAGTTTCTCTGCATAATAGTTACCTGGGCAGTTGTGACTGAGCAGAGTACAGGGTATAAATGTCGGGATAAATGGCCATATTCCTTCAAAGGTCAGCCAACACCTAAGTATGTCCTCATTTGGGAAAAGCATCTCTTTGGATCTAAATGTTTTGGATCTGGTCCATTTCTATATTCTGTCCTGCACTTACTCAAAAATGTCATCAATACCTATCGGAGTTCTGTCTAAAGATGTAGGAGAGATTCTTGATACATATTTGTGACCTTAAAAAGATATATATATTGTTTGGCTTCTGTTGATAGCCCCTGCCTTCAAAACTGTTTTTTACTGAAGCCAAACCACTTTTATCTGCAATTATACATTTTCTCAAATGATCTGGAAAATTTATGCATTATTGACAAAGCTAGAAGGAGAAGCATAGCAGGAAAACAACACTTCATTATTTTTATTTTCAAATGTATTCAATGAAGTTGAATACATATATAGTATAATGTAATTCTCACTTTACAAAGTTGACAATTCAATTTTTTTTAAAGGACTTACTGCCCTTTGATAAATAGTTTAATATGGGACATGCATGCTAATAGGAAAGTCAGGTTTGGGTGACAGTCATTTAACAGTGGAAAAGTGAGTTAACAAGAAACTTTACCGAAATGCTTGAAAAGACGGCATGTCCTTTCATATCCCTTTATCCAAATGCAACTTCTTTCTTCTGCAACCTCCCCTCCCATATCCACTTCCTAAACTTTAAACCGATTTTACACATTAAAATATTTAAAAATACAAATAATATACCCAATATAACACATTAATTATGATGAATGATAACGGGAAAGAAAATCTGGCGTAGTTGTCTATGTGGTAAGGATTCTTAACATGGAAGCAATCAAAGATACAGAAAAGTCTTTTCATTACTGACATCAGTGAAGTGTACCCACTGTGTTTACTTCTCTCCCTTTTTCTGTCAGTGTTGGTTTTGCTGCTTCTGTTTGAATCGATCTTGTTTATATTGTCAGGGGTACTGCAACTGTTAGTGACTGCTGCCAAGACTCCACTCCTCTCTTCTTCAGCCTCTTCATCCTCATCCTTATAGGAAACAAAATAGCAGGTACTTAAGTGTGTGTTTCATTGCCTATTTATTTTAGATCTACAGCAAATAATAGGGGGTTTCTGATGACAGCTCCTGTAGCTTGCTCCCTGATTTCAAGGGTGATCACCTATGCACACCACAGTTCCTTTCAGCTTTCAAAGCCTCCATTTACAGGAAAAACATTGACCTAAACAACATCTTACTGCAAAAGCTTTCCTATGGCCCACTAAGCTTTACTTAACTCTGCAGCAAATTCATGAAATGCACAACATTAAGCTGTCTTCTGCTCAGGGGAAATACCGGCAAAGGCCAGGGTCTAGAACATGGGTAAAGCAAAGCCCAATCTGAAAATGGAGAAGGTGGGGTAGCTGCCAGACCACCTAGTCAAGCTGGTTGCACCCCAAATCAAGCACTCCAGAATACAAGATACTTTCCTTCTGTGCAGTTAGCTACTCTATTCCTAGGGTTTTGTGATGAAAATCCAATCACTTAAAAAAAAAAAAAAAAAAAGCACAAAAAAAGAGGATCATAAAGATGTAATTCAGTACTAAATAGCTCATGTACTTTCTTTCAAGCCCTGAAACCCATGCTTTAAGTTCAAAGTTACATAAAGGTTAAGCATGTTTTTAAGCGCTTCAATGCATCAAGACAGCTCTTTAGAGACTTCTATATAAGCCTTCTGGTGGGTTTTGTTGATTAGAAATGGCCCAGAGCCATGAAGTTCATGTATGAAATCTTCACTCTTTGAAGTCAGCGGTTTTACTGTTACTGACTCAGAGGACACAGGATTAGACATCAGCTGCATCTTCAGCTCTAAACATAAACTTTCAAGAAATTTCTGGAGTATTTAGTTTTGTTTGGGATACTGCAGAGACACCAGCAGATCCAAAGCTACAAAGGTTGGCTCCAAGTATGTATCTAAACTAAATCTAAATTTGTACAGTTGGAGGAGGGGGCATTTTAATTCAAGGAGGTGTCACATAATTTTAATTTTCTCCAAATCAGTGAGTGGTGCATAAGTAGAAAAAGGCTAAAAAAATTATTTGTGAAACATGGAATGCAGAATCTCTTTCTTCTGACCAATCTGCTTTTTCCATTTACATCATGAGACTAGACAAAAACTTTGGAAAAGTTGAGATGTACAGCCCTATGTATAGCCACACAAAAACCTCATTTAGAAATATCCCAGCTATTAAAGTCAAAGAAAGCTCATTAAGCCACCTGAGTAATCTCCATGCCAGTGCAGAATTGCTCTTCTGCCCAGGGTACTCGTAGATGGCACAGTTCTTGAGCCTTTCATCATTTAAAATTAGCAACATCTTTGAAAATTGGACAATGCCCTCAGACTGCTGTGAATCAGTGAAACAGAACAGATGGAGCTAGAAAAATAGATTATTACTGCTTTTCACTTTCAATTTGCCAAAAAAAAAAACAGTATATTTTATTTGAGAGAGAAAAATGTAGCTCAACACAACGTATCATCCTAAAATTACTCTTGACTACAAAACCTTGCTCATCCTCTACCCAGCCTCCCACAGCTATGTGAACATTTTGAAACCAAAGGCCAGGATAAAAATCTGCCTATAAACCATTAAGAGGATCAATCCATAAAATTCCATTCTGAACCTTAAACAGTCTCCAGGGTAGTACTAAATCTCAAACTTGGAGTTTTACTTGGGGCCTACCTCTGTGACAAATACCTAGCTCTTCTGCTTCAAAAACTTCACGCAGCTGAGGGAAGCGCTGAGGATGGCAGAGAAGCCTTTGTCAGCAATGCCTAGCACTTGAAACAAGGCACCAGAGTGACAGCCTAATGAATGCACTCAGCGCTTCAAAAGTTAATAAAATAAAGAAACCTGTCAGAAGAGTCCTGACTTCTTTTTCCCCTGTTCTCATTTTTTTAAGAAAAGGAAAAAAGAGCAAAACAAAATCTGTATTTCAGAAACGACAGGATTTGGGGCATTATTCAGCGTAAGAGTCTATTTGTCTCTCAGGTAGGCCTGGCTAAAAGATGTGCAGAATTAGTTTTACTGCAGAGCATGAAAGGACATTGCGTACGTGCCATTTTTCTTTTCACACAACCTCATGTGAACGATTCACAGGAGGCTGACCTTTATTAGGTTGTTCTTAACTCCCTTCAACTTCCCAAGAGGCAGTTAGTACTTAAGCAGAAAATACCGTACATGGTGTATATGTACTTGATTCTGTTTACAGTGTTACAAAGCAGGGCTCTCACCGAACAGAGATAAATTTACAGCAAAAGTGCTGTATCACGTTGCGTGAGAAGGAGAAAAGTAGTCTTGAGGAGAACTACAACTGTTAGATTATAAAAACCTGCAGTTTTATAAACCTGGGCTATCAAGGGACTTTTCTAACTCACTATGGAGAACTGAATGTGATAAAAGACTAGGCTGGCTTTGATTATTAAAAATAATAATAATAATTCGTGTTGCAGGTGTTCAACTGTGGCTCTAATTTTAAATGTCATACTAAGTTTTCCCTGGATTCCAGCTGACAGTGAAAAACTGGCAACTGGCACTAAGGAGGGTTCTGTCAGAATACCAAATTGGTAACATCCATGAAATGTACTGTACCTCACCTGAAAAGCACTATATGTGGCACCTGCAACTATGGCTGCTGTTCATAGTAACTGAAGTGTTTGCTGACATCCAACAGCCAACAGAATTGAGGAAAGTTGTCACTTCCACAGAACAGTAAAGGTGCTCAAGCTTAAAAATATTTCAACCTAGAGTGTTGCCCACCTGGAGCTTACACAGTGTTCATACAGGCTGCACATTGCTTGCACAGAAATGCCACATTGGCTGAACACTGCCCTTTATAACCTGGTTTTCAGTTTTCAAACCTTTCTCCTTTCTGACCAAAAGGCAGAGGTTTAGGTGAAAGACAGATGAAGTCCAAGAAGGAATCCTCTGGTTTTTAAGAGGGCACAATTCACACCTTGGCAATACAAGGGAATAACTCAGGATTCTGGAGACGCAGCTTTTCTGTTTAGGAAGTCTGAGATGCATTTGATGTGAATGGAATATTCTGCCTGACTTTCCTTTCAGCAGGTGGTTCCTCTGCTTTTGCCATTAGCTTTGAAGCTGTCTCTCTGGGTTCTGGTTAACATGATATGAGACACTGCAAGAGTGTGGATATGATGAGCACTTTCACCAGTTTATATTCAAAACCAGAGATCCCAAGGGCTTCAAAGGGACCTGATATGCCAGAGCCCAATTGCTTTAAAGAGCAAACCGGAAAGCAAACCAGTACAATTCCTGTATAAGCCAGAGGTTACATTTATTTACATAATTCTGAGCGCAAATTCTGTATCAGCTCACATATGAGAATAACAAACTGGGAAGTGAGATTTCCAATTAACCTGTGTCCACAAGAGAATCCAATAATGAGGAAAACATATGGTGATAATACACAGAAATTGTTAAGCACCTGCTAGACAATGACGAGATTTTATATGGTACTTCTGTCCTTGTGATAGTCTGCTTTTTTACAGTGAGAAATAAGAAATGCAAGTCAGGTGTGCTCTCCATGGCAGCCTGCTCAGTAAGCAATGCTTGTCCTTGGGTACAGCAGGAAAATGGCACGACAGGCATTTTCCTTATTCTGCAGTGTCTTGAGTTGATCTCGGACAAACCAACTGCTCCTTCCCTTATACACTTGTGTTTGTGTGGTCAGGGACTAGCTTGCTCACTCGTGATGCACAGCAGAAGGCTGCAAACATGCCTGAAGTAACAGACCATTCCTTCCAGTCATTAAGTCCTTCAAAAAACAATAGCCTTAAGCCTTTCTTCCTTCCTCATTTTAGAGCTGTACCTCAACTTATTTCTATGCACATCTTTCAAATCCGCAAGTTCCCATGTCTTCCCCACCTGCAAGCACTAGCACCTGTGACCCAGATGAAAGGGTATCTGACACAGGTAGGTGAAGCAAGGACAGTTTTAAGTGCCCTTCACAGATCTAAAGATGCTTAATCATCCAAGCACTTTCTTACCCAAACCTCCAATAAGTTGCCTTTCTTGTTGTTTTTTTTCTGCTGTATGAGCAAAATGACAACCATTTACTTCACAAGATGGATATGCTCAGAGGGAATTATCACTGATGCTACCTTGCCAAGAAAAATTACTTTCAGGCTTTCCACTCAAACCCTCATTCAAAACGAGTGTTTGCCCATTTGCAGATATTGCCCCATCAGATGTCTTTTAAAATCCACGGGGGGGGGGGGGTAGCTTTGTGCTCTTTTTTCAGTACTTCTCCAGACACCTAGATTTAATGACAGATCATGCAAACAGCCAAACCCCCATATTAACTGTTGAGCTACCTAGCTATTAAAAAAAACAAACCAGACAAAAAAAAAACCAAACAAAACAAATGATCATCATTGTTTTTAGGCTTCTCCACTTGGTTTGAACTTAATATCCTATTTCTTGAACCTACTGAAGAGCTTTGATTAGGCATTTGTGATGTTCTGTTATAGACTGGCCTAAATAGTTAACAGTCTTTCTTCTTCTGGCCATTTATCCACACAGGCTCAACCACACTTCTTTCTGCCTTTTTTTCCTGTTATTCTCACTTTCTATGTTTTAATTTATCTATTCATCCAGAAATTTCATAAACTGCTTAATTTTTTTCCTATCATGCATACTAGATTCTGTCCCATCATTAAAAACCGCAAGACAATCAGCTTCCAATTTGTGATTTCTTTTTCACTGCTTACATGAAAACTAAACACTGAAGATGGAAGATGTGACAAAACTTCTTCATGAACCTTTCCTGATTATTTCAGCAAGATGACAGCCACCAGGCTCAAAAATGCCTATGTTGATTTGATCCCTTTTTATTTTAAGTCTATTTCACAGTCTCTCATGGTTGTGAGAAGCTCATTAGAGCAGCAAAAAGTGCTGCTATAATAATGATGCAGAACAGAAAGTGACTCCCAGTCTGAGCTTCAGCTGCAGATGTTGAAAGAGGAGGTGTAAGCTGAAGGCTATATACACTTAATAACTGAGGCTGCCTGCTAGTAAACTGACCCATGTACCACGCATGCACAGAAGGTTTCATAAACAGAATGTGATATTGTTTTTTTCCTTTTTTGCTGTATTACAATAAGACTAAGTCACTAATCTCATTCTAATATTTAAACTGTAAATGTATGCCATTGCGGGGGAGACAACAACTGCCTGTGATTTTTGCGAAACATCTAGCACATCATTTGATAAATGGCCATAAAGTCCATACCCAAAGAAAAAATCATTATGGAAAGGTGTATCAGTTTGATCTCTTCTAGAAAGGTCCAGTTATACAGCTATTTTTTCCTAAGGATATTCTGATTTCACTGCCCTTACTCCAAAATAGAAAATTCCTTAAATGTATTTACCATTAGTGCTAAGATAAATCATTCTGTTTAGCAGGTATCACTGAAGTCTGTTTTGCAGGATAACAATAAAAAAAATTAAAATACCTTTGGAACTTCCTTTGAACTGAGTCGATGCAAAGTGCAGAAATGAGCCACTGCATACTCTAACAGTGCTCCAAAGATGAAACTGAAGCAGATACCAAGGTAGACATCAATTGCCTTAATAAAGCAATTAGCGTTTGGGAGTGAAGTCCTGGCTCCCATCATCAGTGTTGTCATAGTCAGTACTGTGGTAACACCTGTGGAATGCAAAAAATACAGCTTCTGATAAAACACAGATACCAATGAGGGCCTCTACTGCAAGGGCCCTCTGCAAGACAGTTTTGGCTCTCTGAACATCTAGTATGCCACAGCAATTAATGTGTCATGCTTTGGAAAGTAGACTTTCAAATGAACTTGTGATTCTCAAGTTAAATGCTTAAAAACACTTATGAGAAGTGTTTGTAAAGCTGAGAAGACTGGAAATTAAAATGAGAGATATTTTGGTGTCATAGAATGTATATTTATGATTAACACATTACTACTGGAATACTGTGCAAATGATCCCTTGAAAATATTCAGTTATGATTTTGCTCAATGCAGTTGCCCACCTGATGTGAAATCTTTCTTTCTTCTTTCTCCTCTATTCTGTAGGAAGTTTTTTCCCCACCCCATCTGCAATCTGCTCAAAACTGATTTGCACTATTTCCCTTTCAGAATATCCTTTATTTGAAATTAATTATAATTAATCTCTTTTAATTCTCTTATTATTAATCTGTTAATTAGTATGTATCATTAAACCTCACAAAAGTCTCACAATTCTGTCTCTGCATACCATGTGGTTGAATATGTTGAAATTATTTCCAAAATGGCTGAGGTTTTTTTTCCTTTGCTTTCAGCAGCCTCCCCTGCCTCTAAATCTCCTGTAGTTCCTGAAGACATTCTCTTAGGAAAAGAATAGCAAGGCTTTAAGGGGAGTCTTCAGGATGTACTGCAGATGACAAACTAGAAAACTAATTCCATAAAACTCAGGCATTTGCAACATTTGAAGTGGATGCCATGTATATGCAATAAAGAAAGCATCTTAATGATCCAGCTCTTGGTTTGGTTTGCTGTGTTTTATCATCAGTTTCTCACCTATGCAGATTCTGGCTGGAACTGATGACTGGCTTATCCAAAATGATACCCAGGAGAGCACAACCAACAGGATTGATGGCACATATGTCTCTAGTATGAAATACAAGATGTTTCTCTTCAGTTCAAAGTGAAACACTAGTTTTGGGTAACGTCCTGTGGAAAGAGCAGGAAAAAAAAATATTGTGAAAGTGCAATTCATTAAAAGTTCTTTAAATTACCAACCTGTACTACTTTTGTGCACTACAATGCTGGAAAAGCCTAACAAACAAGCTTGAAAAAAACACAGCTCTGAAAAATTCTATCATGAAGACTATAAATTGAACTAACAGATAAAATCAAAATATATAGCACCCAGTCACGATATCCAGAGTTTCATTAAAGACACCTTGAATTGGAAATTCAGTGAGAATTAGTGAATGCAAAATAAATTCACCAATGTGTGGAAAGGATGTTTCATTATATAACACAAGGCAAGGAAATTTGAAATCACTTATGTATTTAGATGTGGCTATTCATAAAGAATGAGCTACTATATAAACTAGCATAAAAGCAACTGTCATTTCATGAAGTTAGCATGGGTCCTTACTTTTAACTGCCTCACATCTCTAGTTTATTTTGCTTTTCTTTTCATTTACTATTGCTCAAGAAGTGGCTTAAAGGTACCTTCTCTGATACTGCTGGCCTACCTCTTACATTTCACTTAAAGCCAAACAATATCTTTGCATCTTCACTATCTGTTTTTTATTTTACATGAGTGCATGAGTGCATTGAAGTATTTGTGTTGGTCTGAGTAGTATCACTGTTCTGGCTTCTGAGTGAGTGATTTCCAGAAGATGAATATTTGGACTCACAGAGTCAAATATGGAATTGGGTTTAATAAGGGGACAGCACACCGGCAAGCAAAGCCTTTGTTATCCAGCTCAGTAACTGAGCAAAATTTGGCTATGTTTGGGCAGCAGAAGCACAGGATCTGAAACTGTTACCAGTAAAACAGATCACAGTAAGGAAAAAACTTGCTTTGTGCTAATTTAAATGTGATTAAAAACTACTTAATCTGAAGTTCCCAGTTCAAAATTAAGTGTTAAAGTGTTTGGTTTTAATGACATCAGTTTTAACAACATTCACACCAGATTATCAGTGAGATCTTGAAAACACTGTCGTCAGATAGCTTTGCCTTCATCTGTATTAATCCAACAGATTATGGTCTGCAGGACCCATGCTCATTTCCAATGCTGCATGCTGTGAGACAGAACAGAACTATGGAATGGTGAATGCACTTTAGAAACAACAATATATGATCTGACAGCCTATTTGTGCATCCCTTAGGTGCACTGTGAGACATCAAGTCAAATAAAAGTACTTTTAAAAGCTTGAAGTGCAAGTAACAGATGCCAAGAAACATCTTATTGCTCCCAGGCTAGCAAATGGATGGTTAAATTTCCATGTTTAAAAGTATTGTATAAATTGCATTGAGGGAACAACAAGGTTTCACAGGATTCTTAAAACCAGAAAGAATTGACTATGTAGTCTGACTCTAACCACGGGCATTTATATTTCCCCAATTATGCCTTGCTTTGAACTCAATCACTTTGGTTGGAACAGAATTCACCTTTCACACAGACATCTATACTTAATCTGAGGATATCCAGATATGCAGCATCCACCATTTCTCTAAGTAAATCATTCTGTGTGTTAAAAATTAATGCCTAATTTCTCAGCTGACTTCAGTTTTCTGCTGCATTGACTCTGCCTCTTCACTACTGGACTAAATAGTCCTTTGGTAGTCAGTTCTTTCTCCTTCTGAATGTACAAATACACTGTATTTAGGATTCCTCTTTAAGTTCAACATAGTGAGTTCCCCAAGTTTCTGACTGATAGAAAGAAAGATAGTAAGATGGACAGTAGACTTTATCTCCATGAGGCAGGAGGGACAAAGATGATTTACACCTTTATCATAATTTTTATGTGAAAAGAGAAACATTACATTACTGTACCTCTATCAACTGTGACTCTATCAATACTGTGATTTTTACCAATACAGTTGTTTCAGTAAAAGGCATTTTGCCCACCAAAATTGATTTTAAATGTAAGCAGACCACAGTAAGGCACTCAAAATTTAGGACATGAAAAACTTACAGTTCACTGTGCAACATTATTTCTGCTTCTGTCTGCATTCATCCTTGCACTAAATCAAGCACTACCACTGTGAAAAAAAAAACCCTGTCTGTACCATGAAAGACTGTAGCATAAAGCATAATTAGAGAATTAGGGTTGTACAGACAATTGTAAATCTGTGGCTTCCTAGTACGCAAGAGCAATCATTTAAAACCTTATTAAAAACTGTTAAGGATTTTATGAATTTTGCTTGCAGTCTTCTAGAATGCTATTTAACTAGAACTCAAAGCAGATACCTTAAAATAAGAAACAGACAATTTTCTCTGCAGTGTTTGTACTGTCATTACTGCAGCACAGTAGACGCCAGCACACAGAAGGACAATGGCGCAGTCACTGCAAGTGAGGGAAGGCTGTCAACCCAGAGGTCAGGTGAGATTACAGAGGGTGCAAACCATCAACAATCCTCCACAAAAGTTGTCTTCTGTTTCTGTGCTGACCACAGGGCAAGATGCGGTTCCATGTACCCAGCAAAGGGGAGTGAAGAGACTGGACTATGCTTCCTGCAGAGTACCACAGGTACTTGGGGGCTTCTGTGGTTCAGCCTTCGAGCTTATCTTTAAGAAGGAAAACTCTGAAATAGCTGATACACAATAGCCATGCAGAAATACCGTCTCCTCATTAGCATCCAGTCACCTTTGTATAAAAGCCAAGTGTGTTCATGGGAAGATAGTTCAAAATATCAAACATTTTGCCACTTTGCTGCAATTTCCAAGTGTAGACAAGCTCTTTGAAAGTTCCTGTGTTCTTTCGTGTTATTTTTCCTGATGCCAGAAATTTCTGAAGTAATGTGAATAACAAAGAGAAATAGAGATGTAACAGCTTATAGCTGAGTGGTTTTTTGGGGGAACAAAGAAAAGTCATTTCTCTAACCTTAAGGCTTTCTGCTTTCTGCAGAATCCAAAGACACATCATGGACATGATGACAATAATAGCATCAGCATTTCTCTAGATTTCAGAAGACCTTTTAAAAAGGAAATTTTGAAGCAACCTATATATAGAATTCATATGAACTTCTGTAATAAACTGAAGGAAGTAGCAATCAAGAAAAAGTATGCAATACATACACCTTGCTAAAGAAATGAGCAGTGGGACAAAATGAACATAAGGAAGTATTACAGTCCTTTTTTCACTTACACTCCACAGGTACCAAAATTTACCATCTTTAAAAAGAAACAAAATTGATACTCCTGTTACATGAGTTGCATATGAGATAGTAATCTCATTGCCTTTGATATGCACATTTGAGACTATGCTGCCATCAGCGAGCTCAAAAGTGAAATAGGTTCATGTAATCTTAGTCCTGGCTTTACTACAGTTAAGTACAGCTCAAGTTGACTCCTAAAAACTGTCAAGTTTACCCCTTGCTTGAGTCTTATTAACAACAAAGTATTGCATAGAATCATAGAATCACAGATTGGAGGGGACCTCAAAGATCATCTGGTCCCACCTTTCTAGGCAAGCAAGAAGATGCTTTTTCCTGTAAGTTTCTGGCCTTCGATGGATGTCACCTCAGTGTGCGACAGCTCTGATTTCAATTTGATAATGTGATGGAAATAATCACTGTGCAAATAGCTATCTATGAAGCAAAGGCATAATGTTATCACTTACCCGCTTACGAAGTATCAAATTACTGTTTCTCAGATGAATCTGAACTTAAATGACTGACAGTATATATACACTACACCTACCAGAAGGTAAGCTATTCTACTTATGACCTACTTAGGTCACCCCACAGCAAAAGAAGATTAAGCTGAGTTACTTGGGCTTTACAGAATTTACTAGATGGCAGAAGTACAAACTGGACAGTAGCTCTAGCTTGTACATAAGGAACAAATTAGATAGCACAGTCTGCATACCTACCCCAACTCACAGTACTAAAGTAGACATGAAAGAAAGTGAATTTCAGTTGGTTCCAATTGGCTACTTTTGTTTCAGTATCATAAAAATTATAACAGCATAGACTTTACCAGTAGCTGAGCAGGTGCTGTCCAGGTCTAAAATAGATCTTTCTGAAAGCAAGAAAAGCTAATGTATTCCTCTTTATAACTTGCCTTTGAAGTTTGGATTTTGGCTTCTAAAAACAGCATCCTCATTTACAGCACTGCCTATCTGCAACTTCATATAGATCTTGCCATAATACTGGTAACTTTATTAACACTATTACTGCACTGCCCGAGAAATTGATATAGACCTAAACAAACAGGCTTCCTTATCACTCTAGGTCATCCATTTTTTTATTATCCCATTTTTCTATGACATCTCTTCCTGGCTGATGGCAGGACGCTGCATCTCTGCTCTTTCCTGCTGCCCTCTGATCAGCAAATGGTCACAACAGAGGCACCTGAATGAAGGACTGATGCTGTATAAACGCTCTCAGCAGCTCCTAACTTCCACTCTAGTGTTACAGGATGGGAGCATCTTCCCCACGGTTACTTCCTGTGGACTTTTTGATGAACTCTACTCTAGTAAAAGACTGCTCCACATCACTCTTTATGTAAGAAGCACTTTGGTATCCTGCACATGGATGTGCAGTCAGGCACAAAGGCACATTCTTCTCTATCATGAAATATGCATGCTAACCCCTTGGGTGCCAGATAAAATGTGTGATGTACATCTCACACAAGTGCGTCAGTGTAACTCTACCAAAGCATCATCATCTTCTCTTCTTAGACCTTTTAAGGGCACAGTACAGGAAAGCTTTAAATAGAATTCTACTGCTTTAACTATGTGCTGAAAATCTTGCTTTCAGTATGCAATCTTTTACTGTTTGTTCATTTACAAAGGAATGAGTAGTGTCCTGCTTTTACCCAACAAATAAGTTGTGCAACTGAAGTGCAATTCTCTGACTGATGCAGTAAGCTAAGGCTGTCAATATACCTTGATTGAAAAGGATGATTATTATCTAATAAACCTCCTGAGCCTTGGGAAACTGCAGATAGGCCTCTAGGACAAAACAAGGTAATGCCTGTATTTCAAGAGAAAGAGACTGTGACTGATGAATACACACTCTGTGTAGGAGTCTGTTATATTTATACACTCTTACACACCCTTTATAGTTTATATATATTTTGTATACTTTTTGATTTTCAGTTCACTAATTATAAACTAGAACAAATCACTACTGGCTTAGTACTGCCCCCACCTGAGAAGCAAATAACGTGGAGTGGCCAGGGGCCAAAACAGTGTCAGCACTGCACAGCTAAGCAAGGTCTGATGGCCTCTAGCTCAAGGAGGCTAAAGCAGGATTTGTGATAGATATCAAAACCCTGGCAGTGACTGCAGATAAGGAACAGCAGCCAGCTCCCTTTGCCTTTTCAAGAGGACAAATGTCTTGTCTTTTGTGCATCAAGCAGCAGAGACTGACTTTATGCTTCTGTCTCTTCTTTCCCTCTTTCTGCCAAAATAATACCATCTGACTATGTCATTTTGCTGCCTTCACGGTTCTCTAAGTGGGGATGTGCACCAAGAGCCCTGACTACTTGACATAACTCTCCCTGCCTTCTGGCTGAAGACTCAGTGTTAGACTAGACATGAGCAAGCTGAGCCTCTTCATTCCTGCTGCTGCTGAATACTTCCAGTAGTGAAAGCAAGACTTCAGGAAATTTGCAGACCAGAAGAAAAGCCATCAACAGCCAATTAGTCTCAAGTATTAAATTACATTTTTGCTTCTTTCCCCAATTAAAAAGGTTAACTGAGATTAATTAGCTATCACTTGCTTTGAAAACAGGAACATTTACTGAGTGGGAATACATGGGGTCTGCCCAGGGCCCAGTACTGCTCACTGACAAACACGATGACATACCAGGAGTCTTTTAAGAGAAGAGTGTTACCACATTAGAGAACAGGATTAGAATACAAAATTCTCCCAACAACTACCAAAAACAACCTGAGTAAAACAAGACGCAATTCAACAAAAGCAAGTCCGAAGTCCTACACTCAGCTAGGGATTACCAGCTCCCCAAACAGAGTACAGGGAATATGTAGCTACAGGGCAATAAAGGAGGTGGAGTATTAGAAGGAATCACAATATGAACAAGGTCAAAAAAAAAAAAATTCCTGCAAGAAAGCAAATAACCCAGAATGGATAAAGAGGAACAGAGTTCATCAAATGCATTAAGTGAACTCTTCACACCTTGGAGGACATCTGATGGGAACAGGGTACACAGTTTTGGGTGCTGCATGTCAGCAAAGATAAGAATAATACCATGAGAGACCAACAGCAAAGACAGGAGACCTAGAAAGCTGGCCATATATATTAAAAAGAGGGAAATTGTTGATGAAAAGAAAGATATATTTGTCTTGAAACAGTGAAAGACCTGCTGAAAAATAACAAGAAATTTGGCGTCCATATCCACATAATGGGTTTGAAATGCAGCAAGGGAGATCAAGATTAGGCATGAGGAAAATATGCATGTAATAATCACCAGGAAGAAAAAAATCATCTGGGGAGGTTGTGAAGGAGACAGTTTAGAGGTTTGACTAACGTACTCCTTGAAACATCTGTCAGGAAGTAGGCTGTAGATATATATGACCTTGCCTTGCAACATGAGAAGAGATTAAATGAATTCTTAGAGTATGTTTCAGCGTTATTGCTATGATTATTTACACAAAAAGCTAAACTTTAACCATCCTTTGTTGCTTTTATATTTTTCCAATAGGAAAGCTTTTTTATACCACTATTTATTACTCTGGGAATGCAGGTGGTGGTGGCTACACAGCTAAAATAAAAACCCAGCACCCATGGGTCTGGGGTCCAAGAGCAGTCAGAATAAGGACTGTAGATGGAGACATGTAGAAAACGGTTCTAACAATTAATTTGCCCATGTCCAAAATGAAATTGGTCTGCACCAAAACAAAATCAACACCAAACCATAGTCAGCAACCTAGCTAACATTATTCAAAGTGACTTACTATTATGTGGTTACAACAACGTGATTACTATTCTGTTGGTACATGCTTTTCTACAAACAAGATTAATCCACAACGCCCTTTTCTTAAATTTACTGAAGTTACTTATGCAGGAATTTTGCTGACTACATTTTAAATTTGGCTGTCAGTGGCTGTACGTGAACTTAGGTTTTGCACTGTTGTACAACATTGCACTTGCACAGCATCTGTACTGTTTGTTCAAGTTCACAGAGTATCAAATCCTGATTGCTTTTTTTGCTGTGTTAGGAAATCCTACACACAGTTCTCTTCTATCTTTATCTGTAGCTTTTTGAATTGCAATTGTTATAAATAACTGTTATTTATAATGTAACTTATTTATAAAGTAAGGAAATGCAAAACATCATTTTTCATTTCAAAACTGCATCGTTCCATAACCTGGTTGTTTTTTTCTTTTAATATGGGCCTCAGTAGGCACTGCTTTCATTAAAAAAAAAGAAAATAAAAATTGTAGGAAATAGAACCTAATACATAATGACTCAATAGAAAATTAAAAGGATTATGAGATTTCATTTTAAAAGTACTGCACAGCACTTGAGAACACGGCATTCTTGAAAAGGAGATTTGAAACAAGCAGGTGTGGGAAATTTTAATCTAATTAAGTTACATTAAGTTAAAATCTATAATTACAAGAAAAAGTGGCTTTTGACTTTATACATATGATTCCTGCCAACATAAATGGAGGAAGACAGCATCATTTACTGAGCAGACAAACACAGTTCATCCTATAATGTCTCTTCAGTTATAACTGGAAATTGATTTTAGTCTATTTGGTAAAAAAATAATAGAAGGTTTTTTGGCTTTAGAGTCTGGACTCTGTGACAGGAGATAGTGAGAATTAAGCAGGTTTTCTCTTCCTATTTTCCTGTAAAGTGAACAGGTCCTAATACCCTTCTGGGCACAACAGCTGTAAATGATGATTCTCCTTTGACTGAACCTGATGTTGCTTACCCAGAAGCTGTAAAGAGGAGGAAGGCAAGAAGATGTCACTTATTTAAGGAGCAAGATACTTTGCCATCCTGGAGCCTGCTAATATGTATTTCATTTCTGGTTTTATATCTATTTAGAGAACTTTGACTTTTAGCCTGAATTAATACCTGAAATTAGATCACAAAGTTTCTCTGTTTGCATTATTAAAGCAGAATTACCCAGTAATGGAAGAGAGAAACTATATTCCTGTGATTCAGAATTAGTAACATATCCTGATGAAACTACAGGTTTTAAGGATGTGTGTGTGTCTTCATTTAAAGAACACCAGTTGGCTTGTTGACTTCAGCAGAAGAGAAACTGAGTAGGCAGTGAATAGCAGCAATGAAAGACCCAAGAGTAACACAAAGAGCATGAAGCAGGTTTGGCAGGTCTTGAACTCTCTGAAAGCCCTTTTGAAAACTGGGAAATAAACAGAAGCAGACTTTTTCCTGAGGGTAAGTCTGGTGTTAGAGGAAACTTTCTACAGTGGTTTTCTAAGATCAGCAAAAGAACAGGTCTGAGGAAATGCTTCTGACCCTTCCCTGGGCTGGACAGAGGCTGATGCAGATAAAGAGCAACTCCTACATGGATAGCAAGCACTATCCATGAAAACCAACCTCTTGCAGTTGTTCAAGCACCCAGCACATTCACAGAAATTTCCATGAGTGAATAGAGGCATTTAACTTCCCTAATAAAGCCAGAATGGCTGTTTCCAGGAGGCTGGAAACTGTTCTGAACTGGGTACTCAGAGTTCCCCATCTCTCTTCATTTTAAATGACCAATTTACAGACTCTTCTTCCTTCACAAGAACTCTGGCTTTACACAGAAACAGTAGTAAATACTTTGTTTATCCTTCTTTAGGTAATGTGTACCCTCCAAGAAATGCTCAAAAACTCTCAATCTTTAGATTAGCTTGGTCTCTGCTGGTAGCAACTGAAAAAGTATTTACAGTTTCAAGATTACAACCTAGTAGAAAATTAAAACTGTCAAATCCTAAGAGAAAGCCATGTGCTCAGTTCCATAATGCTGCTCCATTTCCAGAGCCATTTTCCAAACTGTACCTAGAAAGTGTTATAAGGGTGTTCTTACCTGTCTCATATACTGCTTCAGACACAGATGTGAAGTGGTCTTCTACTGTGTATTGTGCCAGTTGGAGTGTGTCCAAACCTCGAACTGAATCATTTCCTCTAGTCCAGTAAAACATGACATCATTGATGTTATAACCCCCTGTAGTGACACGCAAGCCAAAAAACGTGTTTATTTTACACAATAATTTGTGTTGAGCACACTTATGGTTCAGCTGTTTCTTATTTGTCTGCCTGAAAGTACAATTAGACATAAACAATGACGCGGTTTGGCAGAGTGTAATGACTGTTTGCCACAAAACTCCCACTAAAATGTGAAGTCTTGTAATTTAAAAGCTGACATTTTGGAGGTGGTCTTTTTTGTATCTTTTAGTCTAGTATAAATGACAAACTAGTAAAAGAGATTAGTACCACATGGTATTCTCAAGGCAAAAGCTCTTAAGCTTTAAAGAAATAAAGCTTTCATAAATTACAGCACTGCCAGCATTTGAACCAAACATTGTGCACTCTTTGCTGCTTCCCAGGATGCTGTTTCTTGATGCAGTGCATTTGGTCCCCATTCCCAAAGAAATGAAGGCGTGAGGAGAGCAGCAGCACTGCTGCGTGCAGGCACTGTGCTCTGAACTGGGCTTGGGTCATTACTTGGGACTATATTTTGGCTTAGGAGCTTGGATGCTTCCCAAGGACACCGGTTTAGATGCTTGCGTTTCTGCAGGCTCAACAGCGTGGCACACTTCAGGGGCCCCAGGAGATATCCTCTTAACCTTCAAGTAGTAATTAGAAGCTGAGACGGGACATGAATCATCTATCAGAAGGCAACTGTATTTTGCACACACTTGTCAATATGCAGCACAATCATAGCTAAAATACCTCGGTGGCTTTTTCCCATTATATTAAAAGGCAGGCAATTTTCAGACTAGTGTATATGATTAATTCAAGATTATGTTAATGCAATTTACATGTTAACAGGGAGCATCTGAACAGCTTTTCCTTTAGCTTACTTTGATCAATCATTCCTGTATTTGACAGACTTATATTGTGCAAGTGCTAAGTTTAGGAGATAGAAACATGAGCAGATGATTATTTTTAGACTTCAGCCAATTGTAAGCAAATTACAGTGAGAAAAGAATGCAATACATTGCACAAGGGTATATGCTGCAAAAGGAACAAAACGCTAGAATCACAGAAAAGAAGATGCATTAAAATAAAAATGACAGTTTAATATTTTCAAGTTAATGGCTTTGCTTCTTGCAATGACAAAAAAGGACCTGATTTCCTACAGCCATTTAATGCAGGAAAAACAGGAGTTCAGAAATTTCATCTCAAGGAAACACTGTGCTCGTTGCCTATTAAAGTGACAATATCAACTGGAAGTGCTCTCTCCCTGATGACTCTTTAAATGCATATATTGTTTTCACTATCACTGGCAGTTTTCTGAAAAGGTATCGTGACCAGGAACCTCTGTTCACATTATCATATATATATATAGCAATTAAAGTTAAAATACTGTTGTGTCAAAAGACTAAGCCAAAAGTATGTGTATCCAAGCTGAGTTTTCAATTCCCTAAAACCACATGCTGGGAAATCTCTCAGATTTGGGAGACAAAAAGTAAAAGTAACATTTCCTACAAACAAATGATTGCATTGTCCTCAATCAAAACAAAAAGGTTCATAGAAACAGTTTTTATGCATGATTTCAGGCATAGATTCGTTTTACTTTCCCTTAGTATAAATGAACTGCAGATATTTAAATAAAGCCTAAAGAACTAGAGAGCACCACAGTAAATATTTATTTTACCAGATATTCAGTCTTCCAAGTTGTGTGAGATGGGAAAGGCGATAACAAGGATATCCCCAAATGGAGGTTGCTTTGATTTAATAGAGCCAATTTTGTTCCAGATTATTTTGATTAGTTGAACAATAGTAGGTTTTTCCTATGAAAATTAATTGAAAATACTAATTCCAAAGCTCTATTTGTGAAAGATTTTCTTGGGAGAGTCTTCCCAATAGTCAGTAAAGTTAAACAGCACAGTGCAAAGTTACTCTTTATTCAGGGGATTAATATTTTACTAATTATAAAATGTTTTAAAAGTTAATAGAGACAAAATCCTTAAACTGTGTTATTTGGCTTTTACAAATAATCTCCATTCTCTTTATATGACACTGAGTTTTTATTCTAACTAATTCCTCAAACCCAAAATGTCTCATTCCTGTACTTCACTGATACAAGTACGAACAGCTAATGTCAACAGGGTTAACTACAGGAATAGTAAATTTTGGATTAAACATTCATAGTGCCTAATACAAATGAGTTCTTTTACCTTTCTGTTGCTAATTTTAATTTCCCCTGATTGTCAAGCACAAGTTAAGTGCCTTCACATGGCTCTTCACTGAATAAATGCTAAAGGAGAAGTTCAAAAAGGAAATTAAATTGCAGAGATGGGCCCAAAATATGAATATGTATTTGGACTGGAGGCTGTGTGGAGAAAAACTGAGGAAAAAGGCCTTTAGCCCAGCATGAATGAACGGTGGTGCTCCCTACCACATGGCAGAGAGCATGAACCCCTTGTCAGCACCGAGCAGGAGCCCTCCAAGTCCCCGCATGTCACATCTGTAATACCAACAGAGTGGCAATTCTGTCTCCTAACATATGTCAGTATTACCTTCTAAAGTGTTGCAGTAATGGGAAAAAAACAACAAACATTTTGGCTGAGATGCATTTTGCTGCATAGAAAGTGTAAGTCAACAAATGCTATTAACTAGTTATCGTAGAATAGCACATTGCAAAGGCCACTAGGGTTGCTTTATTGTGTAAAGTCATTACTTTCCATGCTTGTCTTTACATTGGTAATCACTTAACAAAAAGCCTAACCTTTGTTTCAGCTCAAATATTTGCTATATATTTTACTATTTATTTATAAACATCAGTATTTCTGTGGATGTGTAGGTACATTGCATTCACAATTCTTAATTCCAGGTAATGGTATTTGTAAGCGGTATTCTAGGATTATCTACAAAGGATTCATCTATAAATTGATTTATCTCAAAGAAAGTACTGCAGTACACTGAAGAAAAAGGGCCACAGTTAAAGGCACACTCTTTCTTTTTGTGTTTATTACTTCTAGCTGTTTTCCTCAAAACTAAACACCAATGCCATGAGAACATTTGTGAGGACATTACCATGTTTTCCCCTTGGACAAGAGACACTTGCGGGCTGTTGAAAAAGCAGATGGAATCATTCGGGAAAACACTTATTTTCAATAATACAGGGAATTATTTTTTTAATCCTGTCAAATAAATTTTAAGTTCCTGTGGGATATATATTTCATTCTGGAAGCAGAGAAAATATTAAATGACTCACTAGGCAATGCTGTTGATGTAAACCCATATATGTTGATTTTCCAATATGCTCTTCCAAAGGAAATTAGAGATAAATCCAAATTCTCATTCAAATCAATACTTATTAAACAGACCTTATAAAAGTGCTGATTCTAGAGGGACTCCTGTGTGAGGAAAATTTGGGGGTTTATTTCCTTTTGTTTCCATCCAAAATGAAACTTTGCAATCTTCTAATTGGTCATTATCAACAAGAGACAAAGAATACATACACACACTTCTGAAATTATAAAGAGTAAAACTTGGCAAGTACTGAAAAACCTCCCAAAAGACGTTGAATATGTGTTGACATATATTGGAACATGCATTTTCATCTTACAGAACAGCTTATTCTTTAACGTTATCCCATGCAAATAATATTTTCCTAGAGTCTTGTCATATGACTAACAGAAAAAAGCTAATTAGAAACACGCACATTTGGGTATTTGCAAAGTCACCATGCCTCAAAAGTATTAGCGAGCATATCTTAATGAAAATTATAAGGACATGGATTGTTAAAATGAGAACTTATAAAGGTATATTTAGTTTTGGTCCATCAACTGATGACATTTTTTTCCCAGGGCACTGCCACAGAGGCAATTAAGTAAGTCATAGCACTATCTGTATATATCAATCTCAAAACAGAACTGTCTATGAAATACCTTTTTTCAATATGAAAACAGTAAATTAATTAAACATGAACTCTATGCCTTACAAATAAGCCTTATTCTAATATCATTCTCTCCTAAAGCCTAAAGGAATTGTACCTCGGGGGGGGGGGGGGGGGGGGGGGGGAATATGCATACTAGCCGAAAGAGAAGAAAAATGTATTTTCTTGGCTGTGCTGGAAAATGTCTGCTCTAAGAACTCCCCCTGAAGACCAACAGAATAACTGCAGGTTGTGCAACAAAACCAAACCCAAAATAATCTCCTGATATTTTGTTTAATCATTAATAGCATGGCAGCATTTCAGTACACCTATGCTATCTTCAGCAATGCCTCCTGCATTTATCTTTTTATTCAGATACTACTACAATTCAATAGGAGCTGGTTACATACTGTGCCTTGGCTTCTTCAAAAAATCCAGCCTCTTTGATACTAATATCTAGCAGTCCTTGAAGAAGATCACAGATCTTTTTCTAACTGTATAAAAATAATAAGGATTAAGTGTCTTACAGCTTTCCAGTTGCAAAGTACACGTCTGCTTATCCATCGGATACTTGGTCAGATCCATGCTGCATGCAACAGTTGTGGTGATCCTTATAAAAAAAGAGTATTGCTAATTATTAATGGGATAAAACTATTCATCAGTAAAAATAAAAATAAGCCATGTATCCCTATTAAACTGATATGTTCATTCAATTATCTATTGCGAGGAGGAAAAAATCTAGTATTTACTGGTAATAGCATCCCAAACAAGAAACCACTTCAGAACAGCTGAATTTCATGGCAACCTAAAAAGGCCACCCCTTGTTCCTTTCTCACACTGTGTATTTTCCTTTACTGATATTTTGCAACATATTTTACAGTTTTGTTATACTTATCAAAATCATTATAAATGATAATGTGCAATAAATAATGCAAATCAACCATCACAGCTTGCTTTCCTCTTTGATGATTTCACTGAAAAACAACTGGAATGGCAAAATGCAATTCTTGCATTTGGCATGAAAGTAAAAGGGTCTATTTAGAGAAGAAAATGAAACCCACTGTTCAATTTAGAAGTTTAATCATATGGGTCAATAGCACTGCATATTTTTAAAACTAGAAGATCATGTGTATTCTACTTTTACAAATAGGTAAGTTTCTTCAGCATAAACTTACGCTAATTTGTAAAGTTTAAAATATAAGTACACATCAAATACGAAGGCTGGCATGCAGCATATACATACCGTAGAGCATACAAGACTGTTCCATTAGGGTATATTCTTATAAGACGATTCTCAACAGTGATATCATGAAGAAAAGACTTTTTTGAATCAACTATGAAGGTATCTGGTACCCAAAGCATTTCCACCAGCCGACCATCTAAGCTTAAACTTTTATTACCATCGAAACAAAGTCTCTCATCAGTCCATCGCTGCCTTAGAAATATGGTAGCTGTGTAGTCCTGAAAGAGAAAAAACAAAATTATCACACAGAGCAAGCCTATATTATATTCTGTTTTACAAAAGTGTATGGAAACAGTTGCTGGGCACAAATAGCCTGTGACTCCCATGTTCTGTTCTTAAATGCTGGCACTATGAAAGCAGCTGTACTGGCTCTTGCACTGCCAAATTTTCCAGCACTTGATGTGAGGCTGACATCATTACAGAATATTATCTTGAGTACACTTTGTTCTTACAGCTATTGGAATTTTACAGTAAAAGCTGCTAGCCTAAATCCATGCCTATAAATCAACTGAAGTCATCAGAGTTTTGTAAACAGATAATCTGTCTCTGTAAATCGTTAAATCTTAGAATGATTTATGTAGGTGGCTGCAAACATCATTTTGTTCACATAAACTACTAAATAATGCATTTTCTAAGAAAACTTTGGAGAAAGTTCTATAAATTCAGATAGACAAAAGGACAAAAGAAATTAGTGGAATAAGCAGTGAATAAGCTTTTAGCACAATTTATCCTTTCAGCATCACAAGGGAAACTGTACCAAATTTACAAAGACCTTGAATATAGCTCTCAGCTGAATTCACCTTTAATTCAAATATGTTTTGAAGTCTTATAGTAAAATCACATTATTTCTTAGCACTCCTTTAATGAAATTTTGATTTTCTGATGTGCTTTTATCAGGATGATAACTTCATCTTAGGTAGTGACCTTACTTTCCCCTTTCTAAATACTATCTAACACCAAGTAGAGAGGGATTCTAACGTTCAATTTCTGTGGAAACCTGGGTAATGAAACAGTGAGATATTTCTATGTATATATAAACACAATTTTTTTATATATTTAATTTTTTAATATATTTTTTTTTAATATTTATATATGCACACACTTCTATAGACACAAAAGCACACAAATATTTTCTAATATTGACTGATTAATGATTTTTGCCTTTTATTTCTATGTACCAATGGAGAGTATCTTTAATTAGAAAACTCCATTTCATAGTTTGTTCAAAAATAAATTACACAAATTTAATGAAACACAGCTGGAATAAATTCACGTGAGAGAGTAAAAGTAAGAGAAAAGCAATACTCATTCAGCTGTGTTTAATCACAAGGAAAGGGAGTGGCTTCAAAGTCACATGAATATATAACTTTCTGAAATGCAGAAAGATTCAGACATTCCATCTGGAAAATAAAGACTGTTCTATATTCCTTTCATGACAAATAATACTCAGTAGCAAATTTCTGTTTGTATGTGAGAGCTGTGATTTACACCTGCATTTCTCTACTTATTTTAGTGCTATAACCACTATCTCTAGTGAAAAATAAAATTCCATCTCCTGACACACATTAACTGCACAAGGCAACTCAAAGTCACATTGTCAGCAGCTGTAAACAAAGCAACAAGCAAAACAAAACAGACTGCAAAAGCTACAATACCATATTTATTTCTGATATCGTATCAATGCTTGCAATATCCAGACTCATTCCAACTGACACGGGACCATCTGCAAAAAAAAGAAAGTCAGAATCTAGCACAAGGTTTTTTAATACTCAGTGTTCAGGAGAACTGCTTAGAAAATCTCCCACAACATGATCCATTTTCTCTAAATGCTCAAGGGAAATTTTTTAAAGGAAATAATCCTCAAACTTAGACTATGACAGGTTTTTAACAATTTCATAAGCAAAATACAATACTTCTAGACTAACAGTATCTTGGCTTTAATAAACATACTTTATTTCCTAAATACTTCCTGGTTTGTATGATTTACTTTTTTTTCAGAAACAAGATGCTGGAGAAAACGCTGCACAACAAGGTGTGGAAGGTACAATCCCCAAGGAACATCACACCCTTCTGCTCCGAGATGCAGAGCAGTGGAAAGAATCCTTCCAGCTGCAACATCTGGTGCATCAGATGTTAGTGAACTAAGGGGTTGCACCTGGCAATGTCGCATGATTAACATCCAGATGGGATAGCTGAGTGACTTTATTTACTGGCTGTTTAAGAATATATTGTCTATATTGTGTCACTGTATTTTAACTTCCTGCTTTTGACCACTAGCAATTAACTTGTGATTTCAATACTTGCATTTATAAAGGGAAATTAGTAATTTTATTCCCCTTTTAAGATCAGCTGAAGGTTTATTCACTGTGATTAAATACCTTAACCTAGGTAGTTGCCATTGTAATGTTAGTATGCTCAGATTCTTGTTTCCTTGTGAATACATTTTACAGTGTCAGAAGGAAGATCATCAGCTGTGTATTTTAAAATGCAGAAATTATGCAGAGCTTTCATGGGAACATGACATTATTCCTGGTTGAATATGTGCAGAATAATTAACCAAGCACATGTACAAGGAAATTCATATTAAATAAGTGCATCTTTCCAAGTAATTGAGAAGCAGAGAATGCAGTACTGAGAAATCAGATATTTTAGATAAGATCTAGGTTGGTGATGGTGCCAGTATGTCACAGGCATGCTGCTGAAACACTCTTGGCTCCTTGCAATGCATTAGGTATACATGTCCCCAAATGGCATTTAGAGGAAGACAGGGTCCAGCTTTACCCCACTGACTTACACTAACAAAAAATGTGTCATTCTAAGTGGTGTAAATGTATTGATATGTTTACTTTTTCCAAAATAATTTCAAATTGTAATGCATGTGTCAGCGCTGTTAAACATCTGGCACTTCTGAAACAATCTATAAATGCTTTTTTCTGGACTCAGTTGAAACTTGAACTATAAAACTCCAGCCTAAAGCAGGACTGTGGGCTTGCAGCATTCCCTGATGGTGATCAATGTGTTCATTATACACTATAAACTATATATTGGAACTGGAAAAAATTGCTCATCTATTGGAAGAAGGCTTTGGAAGTTAATTTAAGAACAAGATTGTACGACTTTAAAGTTCTCAGACCATTGACAGATTGTTCTGTTCTTTCCATTCTTTTCAGGTTTTGATATCCCAAGAATACATTTATATTTGTTCCTCAAAGTTTATAAACTTGACCCTCTAGGAAACTCCGCCCGACTTCCTAGCATGCAACAGCAGCAGAATTAATTGATACTTGTGCTTACCATTGTACTATAGCATTACTACAAGTGAAATACTGCCAGCATTACTGCCAGCTCAAAAGAAACATCAGATGCATAAAAATTCTTAAATTTAAAAATAAGTCTGATTTATAACCCATTTTCTGGGGGTTTTGCTGTTTGGGATTTTTTTCCAAGCCTTCTTGCAGATTCCCATGTATCACTGTACAAGAGTATCTCATTACCAACAGTCACACAAGAATCGGGGAAACCTCATCATGCAAGGCATATATTTAATAATGGACCATCCTTGGGAGTTAACAGTGCAGTGTTCAGCTGGTGACGTGGGAATTCTGACTGGGAACAATCAGACTCTTTCCTATTATATTTTATTGATAGGAACACTTAATCCTAGTGTCAAATAGTCACTAGTCAAAGTGATACAGATTAGGGGAAATGCTCATTAGCAACATTTAGTACCATCAGTGCTATTGTTACACATCTGAGAGGAAAAGCTGACTTTCCAGAATGACTACTGAAATTAAATTAGGTTTAATTTTTCTGGAATCACAGACACAGGACTTTGTGCATCGCTTTTTTCCTTCTTTCCTGTTATGGTATTTTTCAAAATACTATTGAGTACCACAACTGAAATGTAGTGTAGGTGACTCCCAACTACCAAAGGACATCTACCTCAGGTTCAGAGGTACTTTAGACTGGTCGTCCTAGCACAGACCTGCCTTGCAGTTCAAGTGCTAAAGATTGGTACTGTAGTCAGGACAAAACCACCCAGCTCTGCTAACCATGACAGTCTTCATAACCCAGGAGCTTGTGCTGCGCAGTCAGCCTGTTGAGCCAAGCACTCAGGAAAACTCAGCAGCAGATTACATCCCTTCAGATACAGCAACATGCCAGAGAGGAATTGTGCAGGGGGGCGGAAATTGTGGAAGGGTTCTTTAATAACACAATATAAGCTGTTGAGAATAGCTTTGCTTTAACTGTTAATTAAACCAGAAAACTATTAATAGGTAAATGCTATTTTTGTGTGTGTGTGAGGCTAAACACAGTTTATGGTTCCTTACTAAATAAGCAGATTATTAGTAACAGAATGAGTCTCCCCACAATTATTCACCAGGGTTTTCCCTGAACTTCCTCTGAAAGGTCTGTTGACAGTGTCAGAAACAGGGCAGCAGACCAGATGGGGCAGTCAATTCCTACATTTCCATATGTTTGGCAGGAATTTTATGTATAATGACAGCTTCAGAAGAAATTGACCGATCTTCAGAAGAAAACTGAACTTAAGTCTGTCCTGCATTAGTTAAGAGAATCTTCAAAACATGGCAAATATCCACCAAAGGGTGTGCCTTGTTGCAGCAATGGGTGCACAATTCAATTAACATATATTTTAACTTTTACTGAAATTTATGTACAAAGCCTGTTACTTCATGCACTTTACAGATATTCACAGTAACCCCATATGGGAAATTAGCCAGAAGAGTGGCAGACAGCACACCTAAAAATTAAGTCTGGTTCACTGCAATGATCACAGTCTGTTAATCTTTGCACCAAAAAAAGGAAAACCACCACTGTGTCACATTGGTATTTGTAACTTTGAAGACCAACTACTTAAATCAGTCTGCACTATTGTGAACTGCCAGTGCTGAGCTATTAGCAACAGCGCTTTCATTTAGTTTAAGAAAACTTAAGATGATTCTGATATTTGGAAATATCTCAAAAGGGATGGCTTTTTGGAAGAACACCTTACCCTTGCACAATACTGGATAAAATACTATGCAACTCTAACTTAGAAGGAAAAGTATGACCAGAATAATTTATTGTAGGTTCACTAAAAACTGGGGGTTTTCTGCCTCACTGACAGATTTGCTTTGGTTTAGAGCATTATGGGACTTTTAGATGAAGTGATAAATTAAGCTTGGATTTTTCTGGTGCATTTAACGTCCCACCACAAGACATCTTTCTTGACAAGTACATGTTACATGAAGAGACTGGACAGATTAAGACAGGCCTTCTGACAGATCTCAACTGTAATTTTTGATGCAAAGACATCAGAAGATAGATCCATTTCTAGCAGGAATCAGCTTCGATCTTATTTGTTCACATCAGTGATCTTTAGTCAGTGACGTAGTTTCATTGGTACAGTTGGTGAATAAGACAAAAATTGGTAGGGAATGTAATAACAGCTTGTTAAATCATTTGTCAAAAATACCCACATTAATACAGCCAAATGCCAGCAATTAATGTGGGGACAAATAATGCAGGCAATATGTACAGGATAGGAAACTATCCTGGCAAGCAGTGCCTTTGAGAAGGATTTAGAGGTTGTCACAGATAATCATTTCAACATGGTCTTTCTGCATTATGCTTTGGCAGAAGCACTACTGCAATGGGGAGCAATACATAGAATTAAGTTATCTTGCAATCTAGACTGTACTGGCAAGTCTGTTATGAGATTACTGTGACATGATTTGTTTTCCACATTTGAGTTTAAAAAAATGTGCAAACAGCAGACAGAGTTCAATTGAGAGAGAGAGAAATATTCCAGAGAGAGAAGACAAAAACCTCTGGAAGCTTAGTATCAAAGCTTGTAACATGGAAATTAAGGAACAGCATTTACTCAGCTCCTCAAGAAGATGGAGAGGTGACTTGCCCAGTGTCAGGAAGTGCACAGAAACACTATCCAGTGGGTAAGTTGTACACATTCTTTGACTAAGCAAAGCAAGATCCCAGTTTATGGAAGCCATAGGCAACATAAAACTTCAAATAAATTGATCTTTGTCTAACTGAACTTAATCACTGTTCATCATTTAGAGTCTCTAGAACTCAGCATTTAGGGGCAGGGAAGAAAAATAAACAAACACAAACCTACATGCAGGAAGCTGGGTTTGGTGGCAATGATTGTCTCATAGTGTCTCTTATCTCCATGGGAAAGTAAGGAAAATATACATTAACATCTGTATGCTGAAGTTTATAGTTTTGCACCATCACTGATTTATTAAGTCACAACTTTAAGGATTCAGTAGGGATTCAAAAGATATTTTTCCCAAATATACAACTGGCTGGACACATTCTGGGCTTTTTGCCTTTCTCTGAAGGCGAATTGGTACATAAAATAGTCTTTAGATTATGATCATTCGGTGTTTCATGTACTCTGTGAGGTTGTCTCACTAAATCAAAGGGTCTTAAACACAGCTGATATTCTGACATCTCCTGGTCTCTTTTGGGGGTATACTGTAAAAATCTGAGGACTAAAATGCCTTCATCTAATTAAACTCATAAAACCTAATATAAACAACATTTGAGGAAAAAAAACCCCGATGACTGGTCTTACATAGAAGGTTGGACTCTAATTTAATTTGCTTTCTTGAATTAAAACCTTAAGACCATGAAATGTATTACTCATTACAAGGCTAAGGAAAATAAACTTTTAAATATAGTTTAGAATAACTGATTTGAGCATGACACTTTTCTATACCACTTGAAAGCAGCTTCCATATTCAAATATACTTAGCTGTGACCTTTTCCTAGTCTCTCACTTTTTAATGAGAACACTTAAATTATCACATTCAATCACAGAACAAAATCTATTTGTATAAAATTATTTACAAGATTTAATGCATCCCTTACCACCTCCATGTGCCTGATCCAAGGCTCACTGAAGTCAGCAGGAATTGCTCATTAATTCAGAGAGGTTTGGCACAGCACTTAACGTTACAAAATTGGCCTACACAGTTTCAGCAGAAAACCTGGTGTTGAAATCAGCTCGTATTACTGAGATAAAGTTGCAGGGTTATGTAGCACATTTAAGAGAAATAACTATACATTTTTAAATCCCTTATCTCAGCTTTTCTTTAGAAGACTTTCACATCTACTTAAAGTCAAAGATGGATATTATTACAATAAGGGGTACTATCTACTAACACTACTACAGAAATATTTCATATTCCAGTACAAATAATAGTTAAAATCATTCTAGAATAGGTAATTTTTTTTATTCATTAATGGAACTGCCTGGTTTTATCTGTTCAGTTTATAAATACTGAGCTGGTTCATCAAGTAAAAGAGGAATATAAAAATGCTATAGTTAAGGAAAAAGAACGTTCTTAATAATAGTATTTGGATGAGGGCAGAGGCAAGTAACCATTTCAGCTTGGATTTCTCTGTACTAAACATGGTGTAAAAGTAACACCATGATTCGGTAATTGGTATGTGCCACCCACCAAACAAAAAACACTCACTGTATTTTACTTGTCTGCAAACTTTGACATACTAATACTGCTTTCAACTGATCTAATTTTAAGCACCTATTTTAAGTGCCTAGAGATGGGAATGACATTCTGTATTGGGCGTAAATGGCAGCCTTTAAACAACAAGGGTCTGGAGGGGTGGCCTGAGGGGAGGAGATGACTTAAGGCAAGATTAATCCAAGCTTAAAATCTAGAAATCTATTAGTTCCCATCAATGTAAGGGGGGAAGCCAATTTCTGTGTTGTTATACAGTTACTGGATTCAAAGGAAAAATATAATGTCCTTGTTAATGACACTAGCTGAGTTGTACCCTATTAGGTAATTGCCAGTCATCCGCCAGTCCCAGCATAAGGACCAAGCATGAACAAATAAGCAAATGGAGGGCATATTAAACTAAATTTATGATTTCCCTGACTGGTAAATATTTGTGTTCCTCCTGGCTTTAGGAAAAAGGGAACCCTATTTTATGATCATTTGTTTATACTTAACGCTTTCTTTTCAGGACTAACAAAATCCAACATTTTGCTAAATATTAAGCTCGGTGTCACTGATTTTTTTAAGAGTATGATTGTTATCTTGGCAGCAAGCATCCTTCAAAAATCCACATTTCCTCCCTGAAGAAAAATTTCAAGGACAAACAACTTTGAGGTGACTTTGAATTATGTTACTCTACATTCAAGCTAACCTCTGGCCCGCTCACACTTGATATATATCAGTGTTCCATTATGGCTAGCTAACATTAAGCTCAAAGTATTTTAGATGCCAACAAATAATACCAACTAGTTTTATGACAAATTTCTTTATAGATATTTATGAGTGCATATCTAACTGACCACAAATATGCATACTTTCAAAAACAAAGGAATTTTGGCCCAAAAAAAGAAAAGGGGGGGGAGCCAAATGACTTAAAAGGGCAGCTGACTTTAGGATATTATTTTTAGATAGTTCCATGTATTGACACACACATACTAGGTTCCCATTTTATGCAAATCCTTTCATGCACTTCAGACAGCAAACATAGATCTTGGGGTTAATATGCACATACATCCTTTTCTGTGCATGTTTCTAGAAAAACAAATTTACAAGTTTCCTTCTCAGAGTAAATCAGCACTGATGGGTTGACACAGAGCTATATTATATCGAAGAAAGTAAGGATTTTCAGGGAAAAAGTATGGTAAAAATAAAAAGGCACGTAAGAGGTATAAATTACTAAATTACTGTAGCCATTGATGTAATTCTGAGTAAAGCCAGTTATACTGAAATCTTTCTCACAAAGAACAGATACAAGGTACACCAGCTGCAGGCAGATAATATCCATAGGAATAAGGAAATTATTGAATAGAACAAAGATAGGATAGCTGTGGTCACAGAGATCAGTATAATACACTGATTTGTTAAAGTGAAGATTCAGGTGGTTTACTAGCTCTGCTTCTGAGGAGAGGAATAGCTCTTCCTGGACCTACATCTCATCCAAGCTGCAGCCCACCTCGTCAGCAACAGAGAGGGGTCAGGGCTGCAAAGACACCACTCCCCAAGCATACATGTCTCTCTTACATGGAAAAGGGTCCCAAAAGATCTTGCCAAAAGCTACAGATCCAAAAATCATAGAACCATAGAATCGTAGAATAGTTAGGATAAATACTTCCTAGATCATCCTAACCGAAATTATTCAATTAAAAAGTAATTTCTCTTTGTAAATTCTCTTTACCAACCCTGACAGCATCAATAAAATGCATTTTTCAGATTCTTATCCCATTCCTTCAGTAGTAGGGCTAATATAGATCCTGACACACAGTGTTTGTACGCCTCAGCTGTAGCAAGCATATGCAGCAACAGTACTGTCTGGAAATGCTAGTCTCTGCATACGACAGAAGATCTGCACTTGAGCTCCTCTGGGATTTGTAAGCAAATGCAGAAAGTCCTTAGCATCCCTCCAAACAAAATTCACAGGCAGAAAATGAGCTACAGCTCTGCTGCATTATTACAGCTGAGAAAAAAAAAAAAGCTCACATTAGGAAAGGGAGATTTGTAACTCAAAAGTGCTTGACTGCTGGTCTTGAATACTATCATAGGATTTTGAAATTACGTTCTGTTTGTGTCCGCCAAACTACATCCATCATGGCAGTGCCAAAGTATCGCTAGTACTAGCCTTAAGCAATGATCAAAATATATTAATGGCCACTGATCATATAATTATTTTCCATTATGCATCACCTCCAATGCAAAGGTGTTAGCTTATTAGCATTACTTCTATTTTGTAGAAAACCTTAGACTATGTAAATACTTTATAGCAGTTTTTATCAGCAGCTGAGACAAACATAATCATACCAAACAGATTAAATAGGTTTCCCTTTCTCCTAAACCTAAAATGCAGATTTATCTTATTATTTTTATGAAATGGATTTAGAAATTGCACAGGATGTGGAGCACCCTTATTGAACAGGCTGATACTCTCACCAGGTATTTGGATGGCAAGAGGTAACAGTATGGTCTGAGAAACACTTTAGCCAACCATTAAGAAGGACATGAAGGCATACCAAAGTCATTTGAAACCTTTAATGATTCTGAATATTTAACTTAAGAACTATTGTCTACCATTCACTGTGCAAATTAATTTTCTGACAGATGTGGTGTTGAGCATCTTTTCAGCATGCAGAGTATTTTCTTTTTCAGAGTTCTGCAGTTACTCTAGGCAGATATCATCACCCAACCTCACAACTCCTCAGTATTTCTGATACACGGAATAGCCTGATTCAAGCAAGGAAGGTGTCTGTCTCTGAGATTTCAGGTGCCTAACATTCACTGTACTGCAGGGCAGTAAAATCTGCCTTCGTGCAGTGGACTATGGGGGTCTTCCAACCTGGTGACCATGAATTTCTAATGCAAGAAACTCAAATTTTTGTTTTATTTTTCCTTACAGTTCTGCAGTGAAACAATTCAGTGACCTTTAAGACCCAAGGCAAGAAGCATTTATGCAATAAATCTCTTGCATTCTTACAGTAGATGCACTTAATCCTTGATAAAGTAACAAGATTTGCCTGTGCTTTTATAAATATTTTGATATATAAAGCTTTCTCATCCTTAATCAAAACTTTTTACAGTTATTATTTAGGAAATTAGAGGAAATTGTGCTTTTAAATAGTCAAGGCATGACAGCTTATTTCACAGAGGACACATTAACATCGACAGTCAAGTCTCTTAACTTGACTTGGAAGTTTTGTTTGTGAATGCCTGGAATATACATATTTCACCTTGGGCCACAAAAGCTATTATGCTACATCTTATTATATCATAGTACATCATGTACAATCAGATCAGCCTCTGTCAAACACCGGAGGAAAAAAGTACAGCTAAAAAGAACATTTGCTCTCATCGCTAAATTTCAGACACTGCATTACATTGAGGCTCAGTCTTATGGAAACAGCTTTTCTACTTACTATCAAAAAATGGACGTAGATACTTGTTGTACCCTTTTATTATTTTTTGTATAGTTGGAGGTAGAATATCACCTTTTCCTTCAGCTTTGGAAATTTGCATTGACCTAAATGGAATTAAAACAGTGAGAATGTTTTAAAAGAACATCATCAATTATAGTAGAGATGACATTGCAGGAAAATACTGTATTAGTTTCAAGGTTACTGATGATTACTGCCCATCAAATAACATATTAGGAAACATTTGCACATATGCATTTCACAGCACAGATTTTATAACGGGCATTAGTCTCTTACTGGAAGAAAACAACACTTTTTTACCTTAAAGCATACCATTTCTTAATACCTCACCTTAGAAAACAGTTCAGTCTTCTTTAATACCTTCTCTGTAAATAGGACATTACTATTATAATCTAGGAACGTGGGAAAAGTGTTGGCTGTTTATTCTAGAATTTAAAATTAAGCTTCTTTTTACATAATGAAATACATTCAATTTAGCTCCTGGAGAGAGGCAGAAACCAGCCTCAGAGATTAGTGCATAAAACCGCTTTTAAAATCCTGCTTTTATAACACAGTTTTTAAACAGGCTACAGAAATAACCCTGTTGGGCAAAACTGGTGAAGCATAGTGAGAATGCAAACCACTGCTTTGTTTGAAGTAATTACAAATATGAACCACAGAAGCTAAATGGAAATAAGTAATTAATTTTAAAACCCTGGGGCCCCTGCAACAGCCTCACTGGGAGGGTGAGTGAAGGCACTAGAGAAGATGCATACCACAATTGCAGTTTTTTAGTTAGACTACATCCAGATTAATTTTTATATATTCCCACTTTGTCTTTTATAGGTCTTTATAGCTAGCAGCTGCGGATGGGCACCTGTGGTCATGAAGGGCTATTACACAGACAGTAACTGTCCCATAGCAAAGGATAGCTTTGTTCTTAGTTTCTGCCTAACCCCTAAGGTGAGCACCTGAGTGCAAGCAAGGTGTGCTCACCCATCACAGATTTAGGCTGTGCTCTTCATAAGTTAAAACACAAGTGTTACTGACTGCTCATTGCCAGTGATTTCAGAAAAGTGGCGGTATGACTCTAACTATGAAGGTGAGAAGCAAGTAATTAATTGACTCAAGGAAGCCCAGCTGTTGCAGGCAGAGGCGTTGTGTTCTGATGGAGAACAGCCACTACATATTCACCAGGAGAAGGTTTCTCTGCTTCTTATTACACACATCAGAAGTGACTGGTTACTAGAAGCAATCAGTTTTACTCCCATACAGAAGATATGAATTGTAGATGTGGTGGCTCAGTGCTGGAGGGAAGGGTGTAAGTACAAACTGATGGTCAAAGGGTCTCTCCCTTTTTGCGTTCTTTCCTAGTCATGCCCAATCCTCGCTGAATTTCTTCCTCCCAGTTCTACTTGGGCTGCTTCTGAGAACTGTTTGCTCTTCCTAATGATGTTTCAAGGTCTCCTGTAGCTTTCTAAAGCTTGTGCCTTTGATTTTAATTTTAGCATATTTCTGAGGGAGCTTGAGCTGTTCTGTCAGGAATCTTGGCTTTCACTCACTAGGAACAATCCAGTATCTTAGATGAACAAAATTTAAATGTTGAGATGATCTCACCAAGTACATGTGGACAAATCCCACTGTGGTTTGTGATGTGGTGTCTGCTGTCCTGAAACACTGCTGTGTGATTTTTCTGTTCAACAAGCCATATTCCCACATAAGTAGCAGTTTTTCATTAGCAGTCTTGCAACTTCTGTAGCTCAGGTATTTGAAAGGTCCTGTTTACTTTCCGTATTTTATTCCTGATTTTTTTATTGTTGCTAGAGAACTATGTAATTACTTAATGTAGGTGTGGTCCTGAGTAATGCCATTATCGAAATAACAAATATTTATCCTTTGTGTACCAAAGAAGCAAGCATGGTTACATTCAGTATCTGAAGGGGGCCTATAGGGATGCTGGAGAGGGACTCTTCATTAGAGACTGTAATGATAGAACAAGGGGTAATGGGTTAAAACGTAAACAGGGGAAGTTTAGATTGGATATAAGGAGGAAATTCTTTCCTGTTAGGGTGGTGAGGCACTGGAATGGGTTGCCCAGGGAGGTTGTGAATGCTCCAGCCCTGGCAGTGTTCAAGACCAGGTTGGATGAGGCCTTGGGTGATATGATTTAGTGTAAGGTGTCCCTGCTGATGGCAGGGGGGTTGGAACTAGATGATCTTAAGGTCCTTTCCAACCCTAACTATTCTATGATTCTATGATTTATTTAAAATATGAACATAAATAAAAGGGCCAGTTCTATGTTGCACAAAAGTCTTGGAATGAAAAATGTACTTAAATTTAACTTTCAAATACTGTGCTTGCAGTAGATATTTCTGCTTTTGAAATTTACATGTAACTTTAGCTAAGTGTTCGATGAGCCGCATGAGTTTGATTTCATAGTTTTACTGGATTCTTCTTGAATAGCTTTCACAACCTGTTAAACAATAAAATAAAACTTGTCCCTTTTCCACTACAAGGACATAATACTGTTGTGCTGATCAATGTGCAACTACATAGTGGTCTGCTGCATTATCATTGACCGTTATTTTCTAAAAGATATCTTAAATTTTTGCCATTGCTGTTTGGAAGTCCTTTCCTTAAATCACCTGTGGAAATAGTTCTTTATTTCCCTCAGTAATACATAATGTGTAGTCTTTGGGTTTTGACTTTTACGGTAAGAACCTGCTGCCATGGAAAAGCAGTTGTGCAGTACCTGAGGCAGTGAATTAATGGGGCACCATCCCTTGTACCCTCTTTTGCCTGGCAATCTTTGAGAAGTCTTATCACATTAAGCCAATATATGAGAGGAATGCCTCATATATGTGAGTGTGTGGTGGTACCATCTTGGTAACTTTGGGGATATTTAGAAGCAGCTTGTCAGTGTTGAAAGGTAAGGAATCTATAAATGTTATGTACCTTACATGGATTTGCTTATCAGCATTTCAAGTGAGGATGCCCTGTTTCATTTAAAGTGCTCTTCAATTCATGTGCCCCATTCATCGCTAAACAGCTGAACACATTCCTATATTCTGTCATATAGCCTTATGCAGGAATCACAAAGGATTAATGTAAAAGCTGAGTCTCATTCCTCGTATGCATGTACATCTTCTCATCAATGCATCTAAGCTTCTCTTTTACCCTGTATTCTTCTTGCTATATTTAACTAACTGCATATGTTTTAGTTCCTCCATTTTCTTAATATATTTGAAAGACACAGGCATGCATCTAAGTATGGAATTGCCTTGAAACAGCTGTTCCAACCACTGAGAAGAGAATAGGCTTTTGTAGAAGAAAACTGAATATGTATTTGACAGCTGGGAATATCTATGTGTTCTGGGCTGTCAATGTATAATACATGTTTAATCTCTTCAGGTTCAGTGATGCATTCTTTCTTTTATAAAAGGTGAATTATAATTATTTAATTTTCTTAGTTGTATTATGGTTTAAAAATGTAATAATTTCACAGGCTAGGCTGAACTTGATAGGTATAACAACTGCTTGTTATTTAAGATACTCTTAAGTCAGTGTCTTAACAGAATTGAGTAACTGGAGGAGGAAGAGGGCATGTCTGCCCTTAACAATAGTATACATCACCACTTAAAATTTAAGTACAGTTAAGACACATGTATAGGAATATTTTTCCTAGGTATTTTTTGTCAGAAGTTATGTATCATGAAAGAGGCATAAACACCTTAGAACCAAAAGAAGAGAGAAAGAAAATGCCAAATACAGTCTCTGAGCAACAACCCCCTCAGGAAAATCTAGGGGAAAATAGTTGTTTTCAGGCAAACCACTGACAGGCGAAGGGTTTACTGATGTAAACAAAGAGGTTACTTCTTATTTCATGCCCAGGTTGCTCAAGAATACAGGCTTTTGTATAGTCTCTGTGGATAAACTGCAGAAGAATCACCTACATCACCGACATTCTCTGTGTCAAAACCTCCAGTACCCCTACTGATTTTTTGGTTAATTGGTGGGGCTGAAACACTAGCATTATGTTACCATTTACCAGATACAGGAACAAATACTTAAATAATGTAAGTGCCCCTAAACTCAGCCAAAAAACGAAAGACTAAAAATCCACAAAATAAATGGGTGCCCTTCTTCGGATCAAACAGCAGGTATTTACTTAAGCTAATCCCTGATAATGAATCTATTTATTACTTTGATCAATTTGCCTCAATTTTTTCATTTCTACTTTTTTAATAAAAATATTTCCAGGAAACTGATCCAGGCAATGCCCTGGATATTGACTCTAGTATGTGTGTCTATGATGTAATTGTAATGTAATTTAATTCAAGTGAAATGAAGAAATGTCATTCAGGAAGGGAGAGCTAGAAGGCGAGGTGACATTGTTAGCATGTGTGTTGTGACAGATCATGTCCTCTCTATGAATATGAAAGGAAGATGAGGCTCTAAACTTAAAATAAAAAAACATCACCAAACATTATTGGTTATAAAATACTCTGTAGAGGAAAGCCTCTTCACGCATTAGTCAGAGTTTGCACATGTGGGTTGCCTACAGGGTCAGCTACAGATCAATCCTTGCCCTTGCTTCAGTACACCTCAGTCCTTGGATATTGCTTAGAATTGTTTCTCTGTTTCAGCACCAAGCAGCTAGTTTTTTATTTTAAACGCCACTTTCACTATACCTTCCTGATGTGTGTGCTGCAAAAAAAGCATCTGCGTGCCTAAGCATCACCTTGGCTGTGAAACAGGCAAGGGGCAGAGCTGCATCTTAGCCTGTGTTTGGATTTGGATACTACATCAACTCAATACTGTGCACTTCCGTCCAAGCTAAACAGGTGCTATGCACGCACATGATTCCCATGGATGCTGCACAGGAGTTAACTGTCTGTGATTCTGGATACTCTTAGCCATGTGAAGCTGTAAGAGGATTTGAAAAGTCTGCCTGATAATGAAGGCAATTATACACTGCAGGCTGAACTTCTCAAGGAAATTAACCTCCTTGTTACTTAGATGCTTCTGAAATTTTGTTGGTCTCTTACAGTGTTTTATTACTGCAAAGCCATGAATCATGCAGTGATTATAGAGTGTGACAAGTCACAGCTGACAAGGAAGGAAGGTAGAATTAGAGCAAGTGTGTGTTCTGAACAAAGATCTCTTTATAGCACTGGAGAAGATGTGGGAGATGAATGCTTGAAGCTCCCTTTCAGGGGACTCTTTCACCTGCCCTCACAAGTGGAGGCTTTATCTAAACATGCGTTTGCACACCCACTTGAACCAAAACTCAGGCAGAATCTTACCGTAAGGAGATTGGGAGACCAAATAGGTTAGGTAATTTTACACAGAATTGGCTAATAGACTTCAAATACTTCAGTTAAAGGTGGTAGTGACTATGTCCATGCTTGTCTTTTCTTATTAGAATTACTTACAAAGAATAGTTTTTCCCCATTTTTATATAAGGAATATATTTTCAGCACTCTATTCCTATTTTAAGGGTTTTTTTTTTTGTCATGGCAACTGCACTGTTAGCAGGGTTACTGGTACACAGAAGGAATCAGTTTCACCTTCCAGCTTAACATAACTAATCTTTCCTAAAGACTTCATGATTTCATCACAGAGAATAAGAAGACAACATTTTAATCAGGTAAATCTTTTTAAGACACTCTCCTTTAGTAATGAATGCACAGTGATGACTCTACTACCTCAAGCTTACAGTACATTTAGGTGGACTGTGTGCTTCCGTCCTTGGGCAAGGTACTGTGCTCTAGGCAAGGACCCATCTAAATTTGTGTCCTTCTAAATCTGCTAAGCATCTGATGATATTCACATTCTTTACACAGTAATCCGTCATTTGAAGGATCATTTGCTTAAATTAAATGTTTTGAGGTTTGTTTTTTTTTTCCTTCCCTTCATGGAGTTCGGTCCTGTATTTCTGTTAATATTCAGGTGGTTTTATCTTTTTAAGAGACAAGATTCAACTGTCGAGATTTGGCTCTGTTACCTGGTCAGATATATTTCTAATTGAAAGCAAATTGATTATAAACCAACTGATATTACTATATGTTTAAGAAATAATATTTTAGCAAATATTTCTTACCTACACATCATCAACAGAAAAAGGGCTCTGAGACTCCAGCATTTAACACTGCACATTGTCAGGTGTGGTTTTGGAAGCTCTTGTAGCCCCTAAAAAAAAAAAAGTGCAGAGGCAATGTTTTACAGTACATTTGCATTTCAAATATGCAAATTTCACAAGGTTTTCAACACTACTGTATCTTGAATAGCTGCTGCTATAAATCTGTTAGTAAATATTGATAACAATAAAAACCCTCAAAACATAAAAAAAGACATCAGCAATAATTTAACTTACCAATTGAAGCTGCATTCCAGTGTATTACAGCTCTTTTATTTTTGCATCTGACCTTTAAATATTAGGAAAAGTAATTGTTTTGAGAAATCATGCAATCATGCAGGAGAGTCATAAACAATTTTGTGTCTGCTATTCAGGCTTGTAAATAAGTGTCTCTGGTACATCAGTGCACTCTGAACGGAAAATATGTAACTCCATCTTATAACACAGCTGTTCAAGAGCAGCAGCATCATTGGCATGGGGGTAGCAACAATACCTGTGATGCTTTTCTTTGGCAAGCTTTTTCTCAATGAAGTAAATCAAAATGATATGTTTCTGCCTCTAGCTATTACAAAAAGATCCTTTGACTGTATATAAATAATCATATATAAGCATCTGCATCCATCAAAATGCTTGGCTGAGGCAAGATGTTTTCTTCTGAATGAGATTTCTTTGCCTTTGTCAGTATGATTCACATCCATAATGGTTATTTTAAGTAATCTGTCAGCACTGTAATCCGTTTCTGGATGAAAAGACTATCAGTCTATATTTTAATGCATTCGTGCAACAGATCTGAAATTCATGGGCTAAGCATACTTTTGCTATACTTCATCAAGGCACATAAATGTTATTTTAAGACTTCCTTCAAAACACAAAAAAACCCAACTACATGACAGGAACATTACCCAGAATCTGCAAAACAACTGTTAAATGTTAATATGTACAAATGAAATATCTGTTGTAGGTTTTAGAAAGGGACAATCAAACAATACTATTTTTGGTGTCCAAAATATATTTTGCAGGAGTCTCTTGCACTTCAATTTCACAATAAATTATAAACAGTAAAGAATTTGAAGCTTTGTTTCACCATTCTTTCATTTCCAATGCAAAATTCTAGTGAACCTTTTTCTTTCTGTCTATAGCTCTAGTAAGAGCAACACAAGTGGTGTTTACTTAAATTAATGCAGTGTAAATGGTATCTGACTTGAATGTAACAGTGGTGAAGTGACTAAGTTAATGTCTCCACAGAAAAAAAGCCAATTCAATGGCTTTTCAAACCAGTAAAAATTCTCAGCATCTTGGATACTTTAAGCATACATCAGCCTGGTAAACATTAATGGCAAAATAAATCATACACTCCTACTGACTTCCACAGAAAATCATGCATGAGACATTAAGAGAGCCTGTAATAGGAAGATACAGCACAAATGAGCAGATGGTGTTGTCAGAACATTGCTCTCAAAATGCTGATTCTGGAACACTCCTGGTGCATATCGTGGGATTTCTTTTGCGTATCTCACTTTGGGTTTGGATACTTTCTACATTCACTATCTTTATCTCAAAGGAAAACATGCTAAAAATAAGGATTATCTTTCTGGTTTCCCAGAAAACCTCTTACTGACTTCATAAGTACTTCATAAAGCTGCTTTTATATTTAGCTTTTGAATTGCTACTATGAGCTCCTAATGTGTCTGAAGATCCTTTATAAACAGATTAAGGAAACCTATGGATATTTCAGTACTTATTTGGTTTTAGTTTTCACAGTACTGAAGATCAAAATGAATGGGCTGATTACTAATCTCTTTCTAAAGCAACTGGTTTACCTTTAGATCTTAACCAACATTCAATGTAGCAATTTTATGGGGGATGGGGTGGAGAATTATTCTCTAACACCTGAAAGGTCAAATCCATTCTATGCTAGATGGATTAATTTTGTGTGCCCACGAAGGGAGAGCATGGAAATAACAAGAAGGAAAAGATCTTTTATTTCTAGATAAGAATATTAATCAAGAGATCCAATTGCCACGTCAATTGGCAGCTCATCACTGTAAAGGGACACTGCATGTCAGCCAAGGAACAGAAACTGAAGTCTTCAGCAGTTTCACAAATAATACTTAAGCTGGATATATAAATCACTGCTGCATGTGCATACATGCCTGCATACACACATTTTCTCTGATGTCCTTACTGAGCTGGTTTGTTCCATTGAAAGCTTACTGAGCTGGTTTGTTCCATTGAAAAGCTTGCCTCTTGGCATGTTTGCACATCTGGAACTTTCCTCTGCCATGCATTCCTTTATCAAATGCAATACACTCACTGCAGGTTTCCTTCCTATATATGTAGACCCAATTAAATACTGGCATTTAAAACTAGTTTAGCAGGACTCAGAATATTTTCCTTTTTCTCAGAACCTATAAAAATATACATAACCTGTTTTCTGCATGGAATATCAAGCCTTTGAATTTTACCAGACAGGCTACATGTTGTCCAGATTATTGTGCATATACTAACGCATCTTCATGTTCTAAACATACTATTAAGTAATTGAGCTGAAGATAACAAATATCTGCCCCAGTTCCCCATATGATGGGACAACACTACTTTCTACTTTGAATTAGACTAGCTTAGGACTGTGAAATAGCAGGTAATAGTTTGGAATTTCTTCTGGGAATCCACTATGTATTAACTTCAGCATGAGAGGAAAAGTGAATTATGCAAGTTTAACAAGCCTCTGACACCGAAATAGGATGAGCAGAGAGCTGGCAGAGGTTGTAGCAGTATCTTGAAATTTCACTTGAAGTGAATTTTGTGTGAATGAATCAAAGAATGAAATATATATTATACCAAAGAAGGACATGGAACTGTTGGAGCAAGTCCAGAGGAGTGCCATGAGGACGATAAGGGGGCTTGAGTACCTCCTCTATGAAGACAGGGTAGAAAAGTTGGGGCTGTTCAGCCTGGAGAAGAGAAGGCTGTGTGGAGACCTCATAGCAGCCTTCCAGCATCTGAAGGGGGCCTATAGGGATGCTGGGGAGGCACTCTTCATTAGGGACTGTAGTGATAGGACAAGGGGTAACGAGTTAAAACTCAAACAGGGGAAGTTCAGGTTAGATATAAGGAAGAAGCTCTTTACTGTGAGGGTGGTGAGGCACTGAAAGATGTTGCCCAAAGATGTGGTAAATGCTTCATCCCTGGCAGCATTCTGGGCAGAGCTCTGGGCAACATTGTCTAGGATGAGGCATCCACACCCATGGCATGGGAGTTGGAACTTGATGATCTTAATGTCCTTTCCCACCCTAACTATTCTATGATTCTATGATCTTATCCACAGGCAGATGCATGAAAAGACTAAAAATTATTAAAGAAACCTTGGCATATGGTATGCCATGTGCCTGAATGCCCATGGCTGCTATTGCAGGCATCTAATGAATAGAGTTGTCTCAAAATAAGAAGTCAACAGCAGTTTTATAGATTGAAGTTGCATTTGATTTCTGCATTCAAACTGTTGAATGGCAGTGCTTTTAAGTGCTTGATTGAAAGTAGCTGGAAATTCAGGAAGCATGCAGTCAGTGTCAAAGTGTAACTACCTTCCCTGCCCTGTGCTGTCCTACTTGCAATGTCCACTGTAACTGCTGTGTGGCCCATGAGTGTGTGTATATATATATATATTCTTCACTCTATCCTGCATTTGTTAGATCAACATGAAACAATTAGAGGGGAAAAAAATGTAAGGCTGAAAACACTAAACGCTTGATGGAAGAAAGGGAATGGATATATGCAAGACAGTCACCAAGGTAAAAGTAATGAAAAGGAAAAACTCCTACAGGATATGGCCCCAGGAGGCCACTGTCACTTCCAGATTCTTTAGTCATTATCAGTGGCTTCTCCCATTTTTCTGGGTCATCTTCCCCCCTCTTCTTATTTTCAAGTTGCATAGGAAATATTTTACCTTCACCTGTGCACAAGCAGTAAGTTAAAATTAAGGGACAGAGTAAATTTTGCTTGTCACTTGGAAAAGCCAACTCCACTTACTGAGAGTAGTTGCAGATATTTTGGTGAATAAAGTGACATGCTATCTGCCTATGTATTAATCTGAAAGCCTCTCTAATAGTCCTAGCTTTAAGATACTTTCTAAGTCTCCCTAAACTACATAGATCATGGAAGAAAATGCAAATTTTTCACAATTCAGGTTATTTTTTCATGTTAAGATTGATTAATGCTGCAAAGAGCATGGCTTGAATAGTAGAAAGAAATCCTTTTTAATGGGGTAAATCAGAAGGAATAAAACCCAGAAGCAGCAAAACTCTGCATCTGACTGGTGAATTGACTGATGAAAAGTAGACCAATGCATATGTCTGCATCCTCTTATAAGGGGCACCCTCTTATTTGCATGACAAGCTGGCTCTTGGCATACCAGCTAGCTCACTTCTAAACCCTAGGCACATCTATCTTGCCTAGCATGGACATAAACCATGCCCAAGTCTCCTTGGGCAAGCAAGCAAAGTTCGATTTACTTGGTCCATGGGAAGTAGCTGTCTTGTCATGTTTTCTTTGCAGAAAGTAGTACAGGGGCCATCTGTGTGACAGTGCTATGTTAACAACTGAGTGGATGTCAAGTTTCTCCTGTTTCTGTATCTAGCAATAGATCAAAGCGAAATACTGAATTCCAGTTATGCTGTGATGTTCTGATCAATAGGGTTGCCACATATGCCAGGTGATATGAATAATAGCTGAAAACGTCACTTTCTCACTGAAATACTCAGGAAGTTGCTTCAATCTGTACATCTTTCTCAAGTTTTGTGCTCTAAGATGTTTTTGTCAAAGGCACTGTTCAACATCAGAAGCTCATATTCTTAATAAAAGTAGAATGAATTTAAAATTTGCCAGAAATGAAGATTTGTTTCTCTGGTGTAGCAAAATGAGCTGCAAGCGAAATGTCACAATTAAACATTGCTTATATATGTATAGAACATTGTATAAGAGTCTTTCAAATTATCTTGAATAAATCGGTATGAAAAACATACGAGATTTCATTTACTTAAAAATATATATATATGAATTAGCATTGCAAGATTTCAGACTGGAGCAGCAACAGCTCGGTGACAGATTTCAATGTCCTGAATGATACACAAATTAACACGTAAAATCACTGCTCTCAAAAGACACTGGAAGGTCATAAACTAGGTCAAAGAAACACTGTTGCAGCCATTTTATTTTACTTTTTTTTTTATATCAGCACTTCTAACCACAAAGGGAGTAAAGACTAGCCAGTATGCTGCTAATACTCTATTAAGTATATGAATACTGTCTAATTGTTAAGGGTATTTTCAGTTCTAGACTAAGGTCTGTATTTCTCACCAAGTTCTCTGCCTCAAAGTCACCTTAACAGAGGTTTTGACTTTGCAGGAAGGTGCAAACAACTTTCATGTGCCTAACACTGATGGCTTAGGTTGTCTCCCATCTCACAGCTGCCTGGGTGAGCACTTCAGGTGACCAACTTTTTAAAGGGTACCCACAAGTGGGGGTTGAAAGCAGATACAGTGCTACTACAGCACCAATACCACACTTCACTAGTTACAGGGACCAGGCCAACTTGCAGCAAAATGGAGCCACAGTTTTGTCTGGGCACTATCAAAATAGATATGATTGATATAAATAGTTGAAAATCCATAAAGTTGGACAGAATATGATGGTTCAGATTAAGAAAGCAACAACTTGATTTGAAAAGACAAGTGAAATCATATCTTTCTGATGCCAGTTTAAATTATTGTTCCTTGTGAAAGTTAACAGAGCTAGAACCTTCTAGGTCTTAACCTGGAGGGCAGTCTCCCCATATAGACGCTGATGACTGTAAGCTTTGTTCAAGTGTTTTAATATTGTAGAAACCATCCAGGACCCAAGTTATCTGCCCACAGCTTCCCTCCATATAGCCTCTGACATGGGAGAATGAGAGAGACATCTCCCTATATGTCACTGAATACATGCTTGAGGCTCTAAGGAGGAAAATAACAGCCCTGCGGTACCTGATTAGGCTTAATCATATCTGTCTTCTATCCTTGTTATAGATTTTGCAATGTACCCCTGCGATTTATGACAGAGAATCAGCCCCTTGGTTTGTAATTAATTTTGTCTGCAGTTGCAAAGGCTTGTTTGATGGGGTAGAAGGAGAAGGGAGGGCATATGCCCCAGTGACACCTTGTTTCCCATGGAAATTATTAATTTGAACCATAGATTTTTCCTGTTTTGACTGTCCTTATGCATACCTGTAAACCTCCAGAGAAAGTCTTATTTTTTTGGGGAGACTCAGTCATCAAGCAGCTACTTGTCAGTTTAAGTCCAAGGTCTGTATTTCCATGCTGGATCAAGGAATGTCCTGGCTACAGGATACTTACAAACTAACCATTCTGAGCAGTGCAACAGGATGAAAGACTAGGAAGGAGAAAATGGGTTTTCAAAGCAGTTTAGAGGTTTTACAATCTAGGAAGCTTTTGCATGTGAAATGAACTGGCACAGATTAATTAAAATCACTCAGTAGAAACACATGTATTAGCAAATGATAATCACAGGAAGAAATGCTTTTAATTGTACAGCCATGCACAAATGTGAATGCTCTTGAAGTTCTGTGTCCTGAGCTCAGGTGCACGCGTCTGTACCTGCCAAAGCTGAAGCCAGAGGAATTATTCTGACTGAGATGTGGAACTGGGCTCAAAGTATGCAGGAGCTCACCCAAAGAGGAAATCACAAGAGGAGCTTTAAAAGCATGTGGCATGTTTAATAAAATATGTATTTCAGATTTATTTTTTTTTTTTACAGTAATGCAGATTTACCTCATCTTCCCATGTGGTAAGCGCGTGGCTGTTTTAGGAGCTTCCTTTTCTTTAAGGACATACTGCTTTAGCTTTATTCTATGTCGGTCATTGCAACTGCCTAGTTTTGTCATGATGAAGAGCAACCTTTAAGAAGCCTATTTATAAAGATTGAATAGACATTGAAATTATGTACACAGTCACGTGATTCTTTTATAATTAGAAAAAAGCCTGCTAGAGGAAATAAAACGTTCTCATTTAATTCAAATACTTCCTTTCATGATGACTCAATGCCCAACAACAGGTTTAACCAACATGATCTATTTTCATTCAAATATTGTACCCCTTTTTAAGTACTGGCTCATTGTTCAACTATGTTTTCATTTGAGGTGAGATGCACAGATTTGATAGGGAGTTGGAAAAAAAAATGGAAGCTAGCTCTTAAATTGTGTTTCTGGGAGAAGTTTCTCCATATGCCATTCACTGCTTTTAAAAAACAAATTTTTGCAGGCTTTTGTGGTGAAACTCGCTTCTCAGATTTGACTTATTAATGGCAATTTAAGTTATTCTGTGACATTTTAATCCAGCAGAATGCATCTTAGTAATACCTCAGAGGGAAAGCTAAGTATTTTAGAGACAAACAATTGAGCAGAGAGGGGGAGGAATGCGAAGGGAAGGCAGGAGTACCCCGAGGAAGGGACCAGCGCTTGGACAGGCTCCCGGCGGGAGGGTGTCGCGTTCCCCGAGGACCACCGCGGCTTACCTGGGCCGGAGCCGCGGCCCCTCCGCGGCGGCAGCGGGCGGAGCGCGGCGGCCGCCTCCGTTCCCCCTCGCAGCCGGCCGCGGACTGAAGGGGACCGCGGGTTCGAGCCCGCCCACGGCTGCGGTGGGCGGCAGCAGGAGAAGGCCCCCCCGCTACTCCTAGTTTAAGCCCCCATAGGTGCCTCTAAGCAGAATTGTCCCTTCCCTGCCACTCCTCCTTTGCTTCCTAACACCCCTTTGCAGTTTCTGGTGTGTTTGAGGGAAACAATGCTGGAGGGAGAAGTGGTGTGGGATCCTGGCCCCACAAAAATCAGTGGCGGCACTTCCCACCGTTTCTTCTTTGCCGTGCCTCTGTAGCAGAGCTTGCATAAAACTTCCTGCGTACTGCTGTGTTTTCCTTCTTGCAGTTATCACATCCCAGCTACCCTAGGTAGAAATGTCCACCCTTGTTCTCTGTTTGATGTGAAAATATTCTGGATGTCTTTAAGTAACACCACTCAAGTCTTCCTAGGAATGATGAGAAGAAAAATGTTAGTTTTACAGATGTTACTTTCCTGTCTGACCTTTCACTTCAGGAGCTGTCTACAGCTTGCAGATAGATGAAAGAACAGCTTTCTCTGGGGAAACGCCGTTACACACAAGATGAAGGAAATCACTTAGGGAATGTGATTCCCAACCCAGGCTGTGTTAGGGGAACCAGTTTCTGACAGAGCTTCAGATTTGCTGTCATTATTGTCTGTAGCTAGGATATGAGAGCAAGGGGAGGAATCCTTCCTGACAGAGTCACTATCACCACTACTAAAATATGGTATTGCTGATCCAAGCTGTAGAGGAGGAGGAAAGATTATTTTGACTACTTCCGTTTCAACTACTAGCTGCTTTCAGGGATGAAAGTTGACAATTTGTTGTGGTTTAACACAGCTGGCAACTAAGCACCACACAGCCACTTGCTCTGATAATCATTTGAAATGAGAAGAGTAAGTGTGCATAAATAGAGAAGGGAGATGGGCAAGTTAGCAAAGCAAAGCAGCAGCTAAATGCAGTAATCTAGGGTGGGACATGACCAGACCCCAGTTATCTCTGCATTGAGCCCAGGACCTTGGGAGCTGCAGGACAAACCAGAGCAATTGACAGGTTTCTCTGACTTGTGCTATGGGGCATCCATATGTGTTTCAGGACTACAGAACAGATGGCAGTACTGAATGCTTCCAAGTTATAACCAGATTCTAGTTTGGACATGTTATTTTATATTACCTTCTCCCACATCTTTTGACTTTGCTTTTGCCACAGAAAAAAAAAGCTCTGAAAACAGTGTTTGCCTGCTTAAATGAGAGAAGGAACTGGTATTTCCTTACATTTTTTTAATTTCTGAAGGTCTTGAAGGAGCAATGAGGATGGACAATATACAGCTGAAGCTTAAAGAACAGCCTTTGAGCAGTTAAGCTTTGTCTCTTGCAAAACTATAGTTGGGTGGTTAATGGTTAAAGTGCAGTAGCTTTCCATGTTTACTAGTAATACTCAGGAGAAAAGCATCTCTGCTTTGAATAAGAGCATGAAATTTTATTTTTATATAATCTAAAGAAATAGATTATAATATCTTAATTTAGATAGATCTCTTCACAAAAGCAGCATCTTCCCATTTTGATCACAAAGTAAACAAAAAAGCGCATAAAGAAGTCGGGCTCTCTGAGTGCATGAAAGAAAGAGAGAATCTGCATGAAGCCGTCCTCTCTTGTGATTAATAATGACAAATGAACCTGACCTTGAAGGGTCATGGAGTCTCCCTCTCTGGAGATATTCAAAGCCACCTAGATGCGTTCCTGTGTAACCTGCTCTAGGTGGCCCTGCCTTGGCAGGGGGTTGGACTGGATATCTCCAGAGGTCCCTTCCAAGCCTAATGATTCTGTGATTCTATGAATATTTCCAGAGATGGGGCATCTATCACCTGTCTGGGCAATCTCATCCAGGATTTCACCACCCTTATTGTGTAAAAATAAAAAAATAAAAAAAAATTCTTTATCTAGTCTGAATCTCCCCTCTTTTAGTTTAAACCCATTACCTCCTATCCCTTAACTTTAAATTAGTTACCGATGTGTTGTTACAATAGGCTATTTTGACACCACATGCCTGCTGTGACTGCACTGGAAGCACTGGAAGCTCCCCCAAGCTACAGTACCTAGGAAGGTCTGACTGAAGCTCAAAATGGGAGAGTATAAACACCTCTCTGATTAAAAAATGGAACACGTTTTCCTGCTGTTGTGTGCCTTTCTGCTACTGTTATTGCCTGAAGCTCTTATTTGTTACTGCATCTGTGGGCAGGAGAAATCAGAGAAATGTAAAATCCCATATTCCATGCAAATGCTGATCCAATTAGAAGTCAAGAATACATGCTGAGTGTGCCTGCTCTGAGGGTACTTATCCCCCCATATCTCGTTTGAACTGTCTGTGTAACATGCATAGTGCTTATCTTTCATTCATCCGTCAAGCAGAAAGAAGCTTGAAATCCAGTGGAAAAAAAAACCTGATTGTTTCTATTGCATAAGAGCTGCAAGTGGGAGAATCAGCAAGTTTGGTCTCATGTGGTATTTCATAGCATCAGAACTGAGAAAACATCTTTGAAGTCAATTCTATTAGCAACTGACATAGAAAAAATGCTGATGTTTATTGTTCCGACTTGTACTGCAAGCACAGGTTATATCTTCCGGACACTGTCAGAAATTCTTCAATTTTTAGGGATCTCTTTCTCCCTACTTCTTGAAACCTATTTCAAGTTCCCACTGACTGCAAGTCGTAATTTAAATAGAATGAAAATATTCTGCCCAAAAACTCAAAGCATCAATGTGCTGTTGGTTGTTTCAGTTCACAGTGCCAAATGGAGAACTCTGAAAAGTTTCTGAAGAAGGTGGGAATTCAGCAACTGCCTGAATTCCAAGGCTCTAAGGGACCTGAGATACATTTGAAAATCCAGGGCAGTGCACATCGTTCTCTCCATACAAAAGTCTCTAGCAGTGGCAGTCACTGGGATCACCCAGAGCAGCACCTGGGCCATGAGCACTCTGATAGTGTCTGTTGAAGACAAGCAAGTAAACAATTACCATGGCCTAAAATACTAAAGCTGGTAGTAAAACCTATTAATATCAAACTAAAACTTGGGCTGGTTTCTTCTAAGGCTTATACTGGTCCTTCAGAGAGCGCCTGTGGGTTTTAATTTATTAATTTTATGTTGGAGTTATTGCACCTGCAGCAAGGGTTTTACTTAGGAGCAACTGGTTAACCTGAGTCTGTGCACAGAAGCAGACCTGCTCTATCACCTCAAAACCCAGTTCCTGCCAAACCCTTGTCCCCCCTGTGCCTTCTGCAGCAATGGGACCTCTGAGACACTGAACCCACCACGTGTGTTTGAGCTAGTCCCAGAAGGGGAGAGCTCAATTATTAACCCAAAGCTTAAGTCTTTGAATAGAGCCATTCATCGGCTGGGAGAATCAGCTGACTCCATCCTCAGGCTGGTAAAGAGCATTGAAATTGTTTCAGAGGACAACTCGCAGAAAAAGCTTCCTCAACACAAAAATCTGGATGCCTGCAATAAGAAAGCATTTAACTCCTCTGTGCATTTTGCCCTCTGCATCTGTACTGGAGCCTGTGCTGGGTAAGTTGGATTTTTTGGAGTGGTTTCAGTAGATTTTCTTTAAGGACCAATTTTAGAGGGTTGTCGTAACATCTGCAGCCCTGATTAAACAATGTTGTAATCTCTCATGATTTTCAATAGCTGTAACGCCAAGAATAATAGAAAACATGATGAACTTCTATCCTAAGGATTCTTAGACATATTTTAAATTCTGACCAGCAGGCTGACTGTGATATTTTAGGTGCTTGAACTGCTTGCCCAATAACACACAACCCACTTAAATAAGCCAATATTAACATTATCACTTCAGTATTCTACTGATACATAAAATACTTGACAGTGTGGTGTATCATAAACAAAACTGTCCCCATTTTTAATTTTATTACATTGATATTTAATGGACACTATTTTGGACATATTAATGTAAGTGCAAATTCTTGAAATAATGAGCAATGAGTTCTGAATAAATGGAGCATGAGAACTTGAAAATGAGACCAAATAATACAACTATAAGCTAAATGCAAAACAAAAAGTGATAAAATACCCACGGATCTCTAGATTTGATTCAAGTCTTCTAATGTTAATGAGGTAACAGGTAATTCCAATGTAGAGGACTTTCAAGATTTCCTAGTAAGAGAGAATAGATTTGAATTTATTATAAACAATTCTATTTCATTATTCAGTGTCCCAGGGAATGCAGTCGAAAGGGTGAAAATAACACCATAAAATATGCTCCCTCTTTAGGATTCTTAAGGAAAACATTTTTCTGCTTACTATAAATTATGTGGGAAGTAAAGGATGAGTCAGTTAATGTTCTAATACCTGGTGAGGCCTCCTCTCCAATAGGAATGCTGGTCTATGAAAGTCTGCATTCTTACACCTACATACAGGCTGCACGAATAGTCGCATTTTAAACTATTGTAATAATACCCAGTGACCTGAGGGTTATGTACTCTGCACCTATCCCAGATTATCTGAGGGAAAAATAATGAAAATGTAGAATGTCTCAGATTGAAGAGTTCATATATTCCCTTTTTGTATCTTTTTGCCCAGTTACACGTGAATCCTTTGAATGTTACTTGTAGCAAGAGTCACATAAAACACGATTTTTTTATTAAATATGGATGTTTCAGTTTTCTTACGCATCATCATGGGTTGAATTTTTTCTGCTCTTGATAAACCTTTACTTATCAAGTAACTTCTTATTTCACTACTTGCTACTTTTTTCACAGAAGTCACTGATGCTGTTTTAAGCCTGGATTATTTTAATGTTCAACTGACCTCTTATGGGATTACTCAGTGCTGAAATCAAAGCATGTTCTTACTGAAATTGAAGTCTCTCATGTCTCAGTCTGGAGCATGATGGCTCTGTTACCTTGAGATGCTGTTACAGGCAGCCAGGATGCATCTAGCACCTGAATATCTTCAGCTCAGATCATGGCTTTCAGGCACTATGCAAATTTTTACCACTCCTAGGCAGTGACAAAGCACTCCAGGGTGAAACCTCCCTGGGAGCAAGGCACCTCTGTCTGAAACCACTTCTT